TAGCGCCTCACCCGCTGAACATATGGCCCACCTTCGCTGCATATTCTCCCGCCTTGCTTCACATGGCATCTTGATCAACGTCCGGAAGTCGCAGTTCGGCCAGGATGAGCTTGACTTCCTGGGACATCACGTGACTGCCTCAGGTATCCGACCTCTCGACGCTCGCATGACCGCCATTCGTGAATTCCCACAGCCAGCTAGTGTTCGTAAGCTCCGTGAGTTCATCGGCTTCGTCACGTTCTATCACCGATTTCAGCCACATCTTGCTGCTAAGCTCGCACCGCTGCACGCTATGCTTGAGAAACGCCACCGCACCAAAGGCGCGCTCGTCTGGTCCGACTCGGCCATCGCTGCTTTCAATGATGTCAAAGCTGCGTTCACTGAGGCCATCACACTTCACCATCCTCGCCCGGATGCCGCCTACAGCTTGATGGTCGACGCTTCAGACATTGCTGTTGGTGCCGTCCTCCAACAAGAGCTAGATGGTGAGTGTTATCCTGTTGCCTTCTTTTCACGCAAGTTAAAGCCTGCTGAGACACGCTACAGCACCTTCTGTCGAGAGCTCCTCGCTATTTACCTAGCCATTAAGCATTTCCGACACTTCCTGGAAGGGCGTGTCTTCCATGTGTGCACCGATCACAAGCCTCTGACACATGCCATCCACAGCCGTTCACAGACCCACAGCCCGCGTCAACAGCGCCATTTGTCGTACATTGCTGAGTTCACGACAGATATTCGTCATGTCAAGGGTTCTCAGAATGCTGCCGCTGATGCACTGTCACGATGCCACCTGCCCGATGAGCCCGTCTCTGCCATCACTGCCATTGACACAGCTTCCTTTGCCGCCGCTCAACAAGATGATCCAGACTTGCCAAGTCCTGGTAAGGATCCATCCACTTCGCTATGCTGGCAATCTATAGCTCTGCCCATGACTGATCACTCGCTCATCTGTGACACCTCTACTGCGTCTGCCCGCCCGTATGTACCTGCCAAGCTGCGCCGTGCTGTTTTCAATTCGCTTCACGGCCTCTCCCACCCTGGTACCCGCGCTACCAGGCACCTGATTACAGCTCGCTACGTCTGGCCCGCGATGAACAAGGATATTAGTGAGTGGTGTCGTTCCTGCCACGCTTGTCAGCAGTCTAAAGTTCAGCGCCACACCACATCTCCCGTGAGTGCATTCAAGCAACCTGATGCCCGTTTCTCCCATGTCCATGTCGACATCGTAGGCCCGCTTCCATCTTCTAGTGAGTCTCGCTACCTCTTGACGATGGTAGATCGCTTTACTCGCTGGCCCGAAGCAGTACCTATTCCCGACATTACAGCCGAAACCGTCGCTCGCCAGTTTGTTGCCACCTGGGTCGCCCGATTTGGTGTTCCCACTGTGCTCACAACCGACCGAGGTGCCCAATTTGAGTCATCCCTGTGGTCATCGCTCATGTCACTACTTGGCACATCTCGCATTCGCACAACGGCTTACCACCCGGCTGCCAACGGCATGGTAGAGCGCTTTCACAGACAACTGAAAGCTGCACTCCGAGCTTCCGACAATCCACAGCGCTGGACGGAACATCTGCCACTAGTCCTGCTCGGCATTCGCTCCTCCCTGAAGGCTGACCTCAACTGCTCAGTTGCAGAAATGGTCTACGGTTGCCACCTCCGCCTGCCAAGTGATTTCCTCACTGACGAGCCTGAGCCATTTCCGGATCCGACGTCCTATGTCAGCCGCCTCAAACAAGCCATGTCCGAGCTCCGCCCTACACAACCCCGCAAGCCACCCACCCAGCATCCGTTCATTCCAGCTGACCTCTCGACATGCTCTCATGTCTTCATTCGCACAGATGCAACACGAACGCCCCTCCAACGTCCTTACACTGGTCCACACCGAGTCCTGGAACGTCATGATAAGTACTTCCGCCTCGACCTCAACGGCCGCTCCGACACAGTATCCATCGACCGACTCAAACCCGCATTCCATGACAACCAGTCTGTCGACCATTGCCATCCGACCAAGCCGACGCCATCGCTCGCATTCGACGTGCCTCCGCCACGCCAAACACGAGCTGGTCGTCAAGTCAGATTTCCCGCCTATTTCTGACACTCTCGCTTATCCCATTTGCTTGCTCTCATTTTATCGCGCTAGTTATCGCTCATTACTCATTCACTAGGAGGGGAGCTCTGTAGCGTCTCTGACGTTCTCGCATCATGATATCATCATTTGTTTGCATGTACACGTCATATTTTCCTCATCATCACAAACACTGATTCACCATACTCTGGCACACATTGTAATACCTACTACACGTACTTCGCTACCATAATAATTACGTAATGTTTGGCTAGCATAGTTCCAATACACATTACGACATCTTTTGATGTTACGCACTCCTCGCCTACAACGCTATTGTAGAAAAGTAGTCTTTACTCATCTCTTGTAAGTTCTGTTTGCATCCAAACACTTCTTCCAAACAGCACACGTCAGATATCTAACAAAACAACAAACTTCATTGCACAGTCTTCTATCACAATCTCTTTCCTATATAAACCTCCTTTCTCTTCACTTTCTTCATGACATTTAGTGTTCGCCAGTCTTGTAAAGATCTTGGAAACTAACACTCGTTGCACTGTATCTAGACTACTAAAATACTGCTGACCCACCCAAGTTGGGTGGTGTGTTGCTTTGCTGCTTCGAACTGTAGTTAGACCACATTGTCATGTTATTGACTGGTCTCGTCATCGTCCTGTAACAGTCGCTGTAGCATTCTTTGTTGCCGTGGGACTTAGCTTGCGCACATTTTCGCTGCGCTCACCTTCCCCTCTTCGGTCCTACGTAACTACGAACCTTCCAAGTTGGAAGGCGGTTGGTTTGCGCGCTGGAGATGTGTTAGTGCTAGGTCTCGGGTCACTTAATGTCTCAGTAACCTGTCAGTTTTGTGCCCTATTATCACACTTTCTGACTGTTTATCATCTTGTTACAGTCGTCACTCGTGGATAGTTGCTGCATACTAGTTACTCGTTCTCATGTGTTTCTTCTCTTTTTTTACATTAAATTTTATTACTGGCTCAGTGTCCGAGTTTAAATGGTGCTAAGAGTTGAGACTAACTCTGTAGATCATGTCACGTATTCAAAGACTTACCCACAGTATCTCACGGCAGGCAATAACATAAAGTGTCTCAACTTGCACTAGCTCAACATTCTCAAGTCAGGTGCTGACGAGTCAGCGTGAAGTGTATGTCTGAACTGGTGTGATCGCACGTTATTATCATAATCTTTTTCTGTAGTTATATTATTGTTTTGTTCACAGGAGTCACATATCTGAACTGCCCCTGTGGACGCGGAAAACCCACCCGAACCGTGAAAATTTTTCGCCTTTTAAAAATCTTCACATCTTCTAGATGCACTTGAAAATACCGCCATTCCGGCAACAGGCTCTCAGCTGCACCAAACAGATAAATAAATAACTTTGCCAATATTTCGCCCATTGGGCATCATCAGAGCATTGAGGAAGGGGAGGCAAAAACACGAAATATAAAGACGAATAATGCAGGCAGATGAATGTTCTAGAACTAACACATCGTGGTGACACAATTGGCAAGGCCAGCAAACTAAACAATCATCACTTGTAAGGTGACCTAAACAGAACGAAAGAAGAGAAATCTCACACATACACACAGACACAATTTGGCAAGAAGGCAAGAAAACTTAGAAAACTAACACTAACACTAAAGTTTACAATCATCACCTGTAAGGTGACCTAAACAGAAGAAAGAAGATTAGACTATCACAGCACGTACAAGAACACTTTCAAGTGTGGGAATGCTAAAGGCGATCTATGTATATGACAAGTGTAGACAGCTGTCTAAAGTCCCTAGGCTGCTTACAGTGCTCAATGTCCACTGGACAGAGCAAGTAATACAAATATTACACAGCAATGAATCAAACAAGTCTCATTCCGCTGTTACTCCGAGTTTCGTGTCAGAACACTTCATCAGACAGCCTATGACCAAGACTAACAATCACTAGAATATAATTATATACGGAGAAGGGGAGAAGGGGGCAAAGGTGATGGAGGTACATTTCAGTAGCGCGAGGAAAAGGGATGACAAAATCAGCATGATTATAAGAGGAAAAAGATGTTGAGAGTATAGAGCATAGCCAGGGTAGAGAAACAGCACGACTTTCTGGCAACACATCAGTACCGATTTGTGCTGCATTGTTACACATCAAATTGTGACCTAGGGTGGTAAAAATGTTGATGGGGATTGTGTTCAGGGAATCACTCACGGCAGGCAAGGGGGTGACTACCACACCCGCCAAGGCATCGGAAAACCGGCGACAGAAGCCAAGATCCGCCAAAGCGCGTGAGCCATGGCATGAGCCCTGTATATTATGACAAGTGTATGTGCAAAGTACTTCAGCATGTGTATGTTGTGCTGTGTCAGGTGGCAAAGTAAGTTGAGTGGTAGTTCGAGGAGATGGACGTCGATTCCAGTGACGATCCGGTGACATCCAATCAGTCAATTAGGCGCCACCCATCATCGCAATTGAATGCTGGTTTATAGGTGATGATTGTAAACTTTAGTGTTAGTGTTAGTTTTCTTGCCTTCTTGCAAATTGTGTCTGTGTGTATGTGTGAGTTTCCTCTTCTTTCGTTCTGTTTAGGTCACCTAACAAGTGATGACTGTTTAGTTTCCTGGCCTTGCCAATTGTGTCACCACGATGTTTTAGTTCTAGAACATTCATCTGCCTGCATTATTCGTCTTTATATTTCGTGTTTTTGCCTGCCCTTCCTCAATGTCCTGATGATGCCCAATGGGCGACATATTGGCAAAGTTATTTATTTATCTATTTGGTGCAGCTGAGAGCCTGTTGCCGGAATGGTGGTATTCTCAAGTGCAAGAAATACGCTGCAATGGAGTTTGGGAATTCTGAAGAAACATCTAGATGGCTTTAGTAATACCGGTACGAGAAAAACCGGCAATAATAAAAGAAGACTCACCGAAGTGGCCAGGTTCAGCCTTGTTCCCGGAGTACATCGTCCACATAGGATCCCTGCCCCTTGTTGAATGCACGCGTTGTTTTTGCCTAACAACCAATCGTGGTGCTGGCACAGTCCACTCGTGCATTGCTCATCCGTGAAGTCATAATTCACGAAAGCCTCGAATGCCCAGGTGGACTTGAAATTGGACGTGACATCGGCAGGATCCGTCTCTGCTTCTATAACACCTGGATCATCACCAACATTTTGAATGTGTTCTGCAATGGTTGTGTTCCCAGCCCAGTAGCCACGATAGTACGTCACAAACCGGCCCTGCGAACAACTTTTTATGGCTAGGTTTTCATCCGAGCAGACACACGTCATATTCCCATGCTGAACATAGCACACACGGAACACAATGACATGGGCCAGCAGGATGGGGCAGGAATTGGAAAACGCTCTAAAAGCTCAAAGTACAGTGCCCAGTTACTGACAAATCTTTTGAATACAGGCAGGAGCCTAGAATTTATGAAAAGTCCACCAGCACTTCGTTCCGAGTGTACCTGGATGCGGGACCCACTCATGTGGGCATAATATTATCAGATTATAGGCTGCACAAAGGAATGCATGCAGTGAATGGGATTTTCGGCCTTTGACCACTTGCTGGTGAGCTGATCTACTCACCTCCCACCGCTTCAGGAGCTGCATCTGCGCCTTGATCCTTGAAGGGTGGTGGCGTTCCTACAGATGCGGAAAACTCGGCTTCTAGCCCAGTCTGGCACGAACCGTGAAATTTTGAAGGAAGGTGTAGTATTTACATGTATGTGCTGGCTGCCAGCATGCACCTGGTCGGGTGATACGCCCTAATGGCTAGTGTGCCAAGAACGCACATTCAGAAAAATGGATACACGTTAGGTTCTTCAACATCTTCTCAGTTTTCGTGCACACCTGTGTCCGAGGAAACTGAACGCACGAGCTATGAACAGGATGAAGGCCGCAGACATCACGCAACTACGTTACTTGTTTGACATGAATACTGTGTATTTTATAACAAAAATATTATTGAAATGAAAACCCATAATCGAATTTCTTGTTCCTATCATCAGTGGGAAAAATACGGAACTAAGGATACAACCACAGAAACTGAAGTTAAGTACTGTAAATAGAAAGGTGTTAGAAATAACAACAAGATACAAGTGCAATAAAACCACTAGAGGAAACGCAAAAAGGTAACAAGATTATTCGCCGTTGGTTACGTAATCTTGTTACCTTTGTGCGTTTCCTCTAGTGGTTTTATTGCACTTGTATCTTGATGTTATTTCTAACACCTTTCTATTGACAGTACTTAACTTCAGTTTCTGTGGTTGTATCCTTAGTTCCGTATTTTTGCCACTGATTATGGGTTTTCAATAATATTTTTGTTATAAAATACACAGTAAATACATGTCAAACAAGTAACGTAGTTGCGTGATGTCTGCGGCCTTCATCCTATTCATAGCTATATTAAAATTATTATCTCCACGTAGATTATTTGTATACCTCTCTATTATCTGTAGGGTTGTTTTGTGGAACGAAACTGGGGTCTTAGTCTTAGTTTAGTAAAACCTAGTTTAAGCGACCAACCCACGGTGCAAGCAAAGCGGTTGTTAAAGCCAGGTGGTCTTTAGAATCAGGTCCCAGAGTGTCTGTGTAGAACTGTCGGTGCATGGAAAGACGGTCGTTAAGAGCAGGTGGTCGCTAAACCCAGAGGTCGCTTACACCAGGTTTTACTGTATATTTGGTGTGGGACTTACATGTACTTGGAATCCTTTGTGACAAGGCCGGAGTTCAAAAGGCACTGACAGTTGAAATTCCTTAAAGGTATTGGTCAAATTTCTCTTGTTTGGCTTGTGAACAAGAGTAAACTGAAGATGGCCCGTCGCACCGACACTTCCTCCGATTGCAATTCCTGCAAAACGTGAGCCAGACGTGTAGTATTCATCCAGTTTGTCGTACGCTCCGCTGTACTGTGACCCGTATCTCAGCAAGAAAGCACCCCCGTCCCCGTCCTGGGATTGCACCTGGTGAACGGAGAAGGACATAGCGTCACAGAAAAGGACAACATCATGTGACATTCATTTGGGAAGTGTTTTCTTCCCGCACTGGAGCTCGCGTTTTTCCGCAGGCTTGATTGGACACTTGACTGACTCACGGCTGCTATCCAGAGCATACGAGAAGTCTCTCGAACGAAAACTGTAGCTCATGGAATAGCGCGAGCACCAGTGTAAGGAGCAAACAATTTCCCATAACATTATCGCCGAAGTCGCCCCCACTATTTTAGTACTTTGTTATTATCGCAACAACGAGCACACAGTGTGCGATAATCATTCCTTATAGTTGATGCATAACTGCAGAGTGGTAACGAACATTGGAGAGAGAAAATGTGACATTACATACATGTTCATTGTATGTATGTGAAAAAAAGAACTCAGATGGTGTGCCAAGGACATCAATAATTTTTCCATTGAAAACATGGAAAGCAGAGGGACACAAGTTATGCATTAGAGTTAGAGGTGGTCTTGGTGCTAAAATAATAGTGCACCTCTTAATGTTCAAAATCTGGTCTAGATTGCGGACTCTAACGCCAAACTTGTGCCCCAATGTTTTCCACGTTTCCATTTATACATGTAGTGGTACATGTAGATGGGAATCGTGTATGGAGTAGGGAGTGTCACGTTCTTGCAGGTTTTCCGAGTCGAAGGTTCCAGGCCATGAGTGGATTCTTTGGCTGCTCCGTGCCGGGATACCGTGGGCGGCCGCGGATCACGCTACCAGTCCTGCTGAATCAAGACGCGGAGCGAGTCGGCTGCCGTCTGAGGACTCCAAGGGACTTGCAGCTGATGGCTCAGCGAGCACTGGATCGCCGTGAATGGACATATCTGTGCAACGCAGTTACAGATGCGTACAAGGCAGAGTACTGGTGAAGGAAGTTGGCACTGCAATGGTTTGAGCTACATTCTTTGTTGTTGGTACTCTGATTATCCGTATTATCCGTATTCACATGGCCTTTGGCATTCATTCAGTATATTAATGTCATCAATAATGATATTCTTGTTTGTATTAGTTTATGTGACACCATTTTCTATTTTTCTTTGCCTGCCTGCCTGCTGGTGGCCTTTTTTCGCATGGTTCGGTGCAAGCGAATTTGGGCGAGCCCATTGACGCGGGAGCACAAATAATAATAATAATAATAATAAGGTTCCAGGAAGTTCTTGTGCACTCTGGATGGCAGTCGTGAGTCAATCAAGTGCTAAGTGAAGCTGGCATAAATGTGCTATCTCCAGTATGGGAGCAAACCCTCCCTTTCCTATACTTCTTCGAAGCAAGGGCTGTAGATACCAGAATCGTATTCTCGTCACTTTGTGATTGGGTAGGAGAAGAGAGCTACTTATCATGCACATGTACATGTATAACCTTAAAATCCTTGCAAATATCTAGTTTAGGTGATGGAGCAAGACTAATTCTCTCATATGTCAGAGCAATAGCTAAATGAGAACAGGACTGTTTCAACTGAAATGGAGCAGTAAGTGAGTGTACCTGCACTTTGAGCCGAGCCGTGGTCGCAGTGAGCAGGTCATCATACGTGCCGATGTTAATGATCAGGTGCTCTCCAGGAGATGGGTACAAGGTCAGATCTGACACGTGCGTAGCATTGGTGTTGCTCGTTGCCTCATCATTCCACGTGATGCCGCTGAAGTGTGCCCAGGGCGAGAGGAGCAGGGGACCGGCGATCACAACGTTGGAGATCTCCTTGGGATTCGCTTTGATTTTGTCAGCCAGACGGGCAGCGCTTGATTGATGCTGACCCTCGCGCAGGAAACTGTTAGAGGATAGCAAAATACACTGTATTTCCTATAGCAATATTTACTGGAACAATGTTCAATCTGCCAGGTCCAGGGTTTGTATGCATTTAACCCTGTCCACAACCCGTCCCTTGGCACCCAGCCATCAACACAAAACCACGCCCACACCAACAAACAGAAACACAACCACACACAGATACACACACACACACTCATAATCCTGCCCATCGCTGAAGCGGTGATAGCGAACAAGCTATGTTAGACGTAGCAACTTGTGCTGGGATTGCACCATTCCACAGCTTGCAAGGCTGATGAATTGACCGCCACTAATTTTAGCCTGGTTTACACCACACGGCTGGTTGAAGTGACACACACACCCACACCCCACACCCACCCCCCCCCACACACACACGCACACACACACACACACACACGCACACACACACACACACGCACACACACACACACACAAACACACACACACACACACACCCCTTTGGACCTTTGGAAAGCCCATCGCCGAAGGCGATGATAGCTTTTAGGCGAGGCAGTAGTTCTTGTGTCGGGATAAATCATTCGAACGGCGAAAGCCACGGCCGCAGACACAGGCGAACACTCTTAATTGGGGCTGGCTTGGTGGCTTCCGACGGCTACGCTCGCGCCAGTCCCTCCGGACCTGAGCAAGGTGGTACCATTGCGCCTCCGGGATACCGGTCGCACGTAGGTCTGAAGCTGCCACATCTCTCCAACGATGCTTGGGTCCATGGCGGGGCCGCGTGTTAGTGCCCTCCGCACACACACACACACACACACACACACACACACACACACACACACACACACACACACACACACACACACACACACACACACACACACACACACACACACACACACACATACACACACATACACACACATACACACACATGCACACACATACACACAACACCAGATGAAAAAGTCTTTTTAACAGTGTTATGTTACTATACCTTCTCAATGCTTCTGACTTGTTAAACGTGGCTGCAGTGCAGTTCGGTCGTTGGTAGAACCAGGTTCCGTTGATTTGTTTATAGCACTCCGCACTGCTGTATAAGAAGAGAATCCATGCTGTGCTGGAGGTAATTAACTCCCCCAACTTTGTATCCGTTTCGGTAACGGCTAGTAGATAAGACCTGCCACTGGTTGTGGTGCTGTTTGTCAACGAACACAGTGAGTATGGTTCTGGCCTTGCGTGTTCCGGCTGACCCAGGTTTCTTCCAGGCAAATAGGACGGTCTGTATGGGTGGCAGAGCGGTCCGTTTCGCCATCCGCTATCCACTCCATCGTCTTCTCCTCCTGAGGCTGCCGGCTTGAAGACTAGCGCTGGGCCGACTCTCTGAGGCTGATAGCATTGCCTGTCATCCTGGAGATTATTCTCATCCTGCACCTACAGGACGTGGCACAGTGAAGAGAATGGATGATGTGAAGTAACCCAGAGGTTCGCCGTATCTACCATCGTACAGTAAAACCTGTAGCTAACGACCACCGTGACTAGCGACCAGCCTGGTACTACAGACCACTTTGCCAGGCACGGTGGGTCTCACATTCAAAATATATGGTTGTGCTATGTAAACCTCTAACTAAAGACCACCTGCCACTAAAGACCACTTTCTCTGGCCCCAAAGGGGTGGTCGTTAGTCACAGGTTTTACTGTAGTGTATTGGGGGACATTCGAAGAGCGCAGCACTTTCAAAAACTGGTGCCAGCACGTCCGTACCAGCCGTACCAGTTGCGGGGACCCTGGACGGAACGTGAGCTCGATGCTTACTACACTCATACTGCACTCCGGAAACTCAGGTACAGGTATGTAGTACATTTGCCAGCACTGTCATCACGCTGGGTGCAACAGTCCGTAATTCTAATTATACGTTCCTACTGCGAATTCCATTTCAATTCAGTAATACGCCATTTTTAGGGTCAAGTTTCCACCATTGGGCATTGGTCTCCTTGGTGAAACCTTGAACTGCTCCTTGAATCGTTGTTGAGCCGATCAAGCTTATACATATTGTAATAAGAAAGCCAGTTCCGTCTCTTTCTTACCTCAGTAACATCCTTGTGCTTGCTACTGCATGGCGCACTGCACTGATACAGGTTGTGGATCAGCAGGCCCATTGATGGGCTGACCGTTACGTTGACCCTATTTCTCACAAAATGGTAATTGCTCAGCTAAACAGGGAACAGGAAATGAACGGTCAGAGATGAATAAAGTGTTCATATACATGTACATTAAAAAGAGAATGTTGTTTGACACTACCGGTAGGAATATTCTTTGTTTCACTGTGTAGCTGGCACCACTGGAGCTATTTTGGTCAATGCTCTGACCGCCAAATATGTAGTTGGCGCCACTAGCGCTATCTTGAAAAGTGCTATTTTGTCAATGTTCTGACTGCCAAAGTGCCGGTTGTAAGTGCCGGTTGTAAGGACTTGCTTGCCACCTTGTTAGTAACCATTGTATTTGATTAGAAACGTTATGGTACGAAAGGCCTAGTCGAAACTACATACGTACATGTACATGACGTCTGTGCTTCGTGTGGAGTTTATTGCAATTGCAGTGCCAGACCCTGATGGTTTAAAAGTGTTAAAAGAGATGCTCCTACTTACATTACGAAAATCAATCAAGGCCCCCGTGCCATTTAGCCGCTGTATGAAACTTGAATCAAAGTTCGTGTCAAGAATGCCGTTGACCTCAATGGTGCCTCCCACGGAAAGTATTGGACCCTCGCTTGAGTTGTAGTCACCTCTGTGGAGCAGTTGTAGAACAGACGGACGGAAACACACGATGCAGACTTTGCTTATGTGCAGTTAACGTTACAAGGTACGCATGAAGTCAATCCCTGGTCGCCAGATGGGAGACATTAGAACAACGCAAGACACCTCTACAGATTACAATGTGGTGTGGTGAAGTCGGAAACATTGACCTTCTTCATCTCTCTCATTTAAAAAAAAAAAAAAAAAATTCACGGTTCGCGTGAGACTCGGCCAAAGGCCCAGTTTTCCGCATCCGCAGGAACGCCACCACCCTCTTGGATCAAGGCGCAGATGCAGCTCCTAAACGGTGGGAGGTGAGTAGATCAGACCCACCATAAAAACTTTAAAAACTTGTTTTTTTATTGCATATTTGGTTAACGCGAGTAGTTTGAAGTGCGGCCACTCACTGCTTGGGCTATTTCTCTGTTTGTCCACATTTCCCCATGCACGTACAAGTGTAGAGATTTGTTGTATAGGCTTAATGTCAGGACAATGCATGTACTGCCCATTGCTTGACGTCACACATCACCACCTGACTGCCACATGACACGTTTCTTTAGTTAAATATTAAATGGTCTGTAACAAAGACGTTTTTTCGAATCGCCATGTTGTAGGGAACAAAACTGGAAATGGCACTTTGAAACAGGTCTCACCTACTTCGATCTTCAAACGCTCTTTTCTGATCAATAATATCGTGAACAGAATTATGCAATGTACACTCATGCCTCGGTTATCCGGACCCCGCAGTTTCGGGCACTTTGGTCTACCGAGCACCTTTTGGGTGCGTTTCACTGGAAATATTACTACTCCTTTGTCATTTTTGTGGAATTGATGACGTCACACACCATACATATATCTATAGCCTTTCTCCATCAAAATGTATGTGATTCGGAGTTACGGACATTGAAGTTATTGGCAGTGCCCGGTCCCGGACCGCCCGGATACACGACGTATGAGTGTAGTTGTAAACGGCAGGTATTCCACATACCTGATTACATTGCGGCCAGAGAGAATGATTCTGGCCTTGAACACCCATATGAAGGGTCTGCTATTCGTCATTGACTGATCATGATTGTTCTCCAGTCGGCTGTCTTCAATGCGAATCGTAGTGGTGGCGTTTTCAAATGGGCCTCCAGTGACATAGATAAATGTTGCTAGGTTTGTGCAAGCCTTGCCAGCGACATTGAAACTGCTGTTTTGGATTCGAATGCTGCTGTTGCTGGACTGCACAGAAACAAAACTATTCAGACCAACTGGGCCTAAGGTGGTGTTCTCCAGAATTGATGTTTTTGAAATTAGAATGTACACTTCTTCACCCTCTCCATGAAATAGCCTTCTAACAGTGTTCCATTCAAATACCGAAAGACGTATCTCCATGGAAATGCGTTCAAAACGTGGTGCCTGATAAAGAAAGATGTGTGACAGCACGTTATGGCTAAAGTTACAGCGTATCACATTCAGCTTGATACTTCCGCCTGTGGAATTGGTACGGTATGTGATAAATGCGCTATCTTCGTTGCTTGCGCTCAAGGAGATGTGTTTTATTTCACAGCTAACCATTTCCAATGAAACCGCGCCGCGTTGGGCATCTGTGACGGCGTCGCTTGCAGTTTCGTTGTCACTAGAATCCAAGGTGATGACTGAGTCGGCTGATGCTGAGGGGACACCAGGTGGTTCGGTACCAATGAACTTGCAGGCTTTGTACAGGATGCGTACATCCGTTTGATCAGATACTTCTAACCGAATGGCAGAGCAGCCAGCACCGACTTGAAAAGTACAGTTCTGGAACGTGATGTGCGGCGGGCCAGCGTACCCCTGAAAAGAAAGTAGGACGTGGGGAGAAGCAGGTGATTCGTTACATACGCCATTTTCTGCTGGGAACAATATGGACTGAATGGAAACGTTGTTGAGAGACGGTCCTGTCAAGCTGAAGAATTTAGCAACTGGACTTGCTTCGCATGTTGATTCATTGGATAACTTGATCCCGTATGTGCAGTTAGATTCGGGATCTGGTTTGACGGTCACCGTGCTGAAATTCACATTGTAAGAATCCAAACTCATCTCACCTCGTGAAATCGTGCAGCCATCTTGTTTGGTCGGAGCAAGTATGATAACCAGATCGTCCGAAGTCGTGTTTGAAATAGAGTTTGAAGCAGTCTCCAGTGCATCACTCAGGCTAGGGCATGCCTGCTGTATGCTAGAGCCACAGGGAATTCCCCTGTTGGTCGGGAAGCCAGGTGCGGACTTGCTTGTAACGAAGAGATTGGTGGGCTTCCCGCGGAGTTTGTTCACAGCTGCGAATGGCTCAGCAGCATGCGATGGGGTCGAGTAAGATCGTGGTGGGGTGGATGCCGCCCTGACATTGATAGCATGGTATTGAGTGGACAGTACAATGGCACACAGCAATGCAATGTGCAGCAGTCCACCGACCACCCACCTGCTAATCATTCTCCTTTCTCGGCTGATCCGTCTGCAGAAGAGATCAAATAATTCAAGGAAAATCAATATTCTCCGAATGGCATACAGAGCGACTGAATCGAACCTGTTTGATACATCCTGCAGCAGGCGCGTAGCCCGCATGAGGTATGGGGGGGGGGGGGGGGGAGGGGAGTCGAACTCGGTTCCGCATGCACATGACCATGAATGATAATTATGCACCAGCCATCCTACACATACACGTGTGTATGCAGCCGTGCACCCCCCCCCCCCCCCCGCCATAAAAGGAGACAGGCTACGTCCCTGCTGCAGTAACATTCGAAATACAGTAGCTAGCTAGCAGTGCCTGAAGACAATGTCTGGTACGTGTGCTGTTACAGGCCGGCTCACTTTCTGTTGAACGTCTGTTACCTGAACACCTGGAAACAGCTCGCGCCTGGTAAAGTGATCAAATTCTACGCTATCCTACTCAGTTTCGACAGATTGGAAGCAAGTCTCTAGACCTCTTGCGGTGTGATGAGTAGATTAAAAACTTGCATGATTCATCCAGTCCAAACCAAGCCACTGCGACCTTGGCCAGCTGCACTCGATACTATTTCGGCACCTGGGCCGTCCTCAGAATGATAAGTTTAACCACGGATTTTAAAAACAAAATTCACGGTTCGCGTGAGACTCGGCCAAAGGCCCAGTTTTCCGCATCCGCAGGAACGCCACCACCCTCTTGGATCAATGCGCAGATGCAGCTCCTAAGCGGTGGGAGGTGAGTAGATCAGACCCACCACAAAGTGGTCAAAGACCAAAAATCCCACTCACTGCATCCATCTAAAGCAAGGGCTAAATCACGGTCTTAGAAGAGGAGCAACAGCTGTTGGAGCAATGCTCCCTGAGCGGAGTGCATTTCACGCAATCGTAACATTATCATGCAATGCTTTTAACACCCTCATCCAGGGCAAACAGATTTGCATCGATCTACATTTCACCGTTTGGATTTTTAAAGATATTGGCACTTACATAGAGCACGGAAAAGGAACTCGCGCCATATCCTCACAGTTCATCACTGAGTGATGAACATGATGTCTTCATGCCTGGAATGTCCCGCTACACAACTCAAGGCCACGATGGAAAATTATGATGGTGGAGAGAACATTATGTGCAACTACAGCAAATAAAGTCATGAAAGATGGGTAGATCTACATTGTACGTGGCGGCGGGACGGCACTCAAGGGTCATTGTCCCCCGTGGTCGGACAATGCTGCCACTCTGGCACTGCCATGTCGGTGAAGCTTCGCTGCCGCAATTTTCAAACATGAGAGAGAGAGAGATAGATTGAGAGAGAGAGAGAGAGAGAGAGAGAGAGAGAGAGAGAGAGAGAGAGAGAGAGAGAGAGAGAGAGAGAGAGAGAGAGAGAGAGAGAGAGAGAGAGAGAGAGAGAGAGAGGGAGAGATAGAGCTAGAGATAGAGATAGAGAGAGACAGAGAGAGAGAGAGAGAGAGAGAGAGAAAGAGAGAGAGAGAGAGAGAGAGAGAGAGAGAGAGAGGGGGAGAGAGAGAGAGAGAGAGAGAGAGAGAGTGAGAGAGAGCGAGAGAGAGGATCGGGTTGATGATGGACATTTTCTCTCCGACTCACCTGCCAGACTCCGTGCAGCATGAGTTGCTTCTTGGACGCGCTATGCGACAGCCTTCGGTTTTCTGTCTGTTCCTGGAGAAGGGCTGCTCACCTGTGACTTACGAACACCGCCGCGCCATTACAACTCCCTGCAAGAACATGAATCATTGAATGCAACCACTGACTCCCCTAGGTGTTTCTGGAGCACGGAACCAAAACTGCCTGCACAGCAGTTCTACACGGCGATGTAAAAGCAACTTGCGCAGCTGTGCGTGTGTGTGTGAGTGCGTGAGTGTGTGTGTGTGTGTGTGTATGTGTCCCACATGGTGCAGTGGTATGTGCAGTCGATTTACAATCGAGAGGTTGCGGGTTCAATTCCCGATGATTATTGTTGCACGCGTCTTTCTTCTCTTTCCCATTCTCCTAGCTCTTCTTTCATTCTCCTGGTTGGTTACCAACAGCCAGTACATGCCGGAGTATGTGGTGTGGTGTGTGTGTGTGTGTGTGTGTGTTGAAAAAATAAACAGAATGAAAAAATGGAAAAATGGAAAAATGAAAAATGAAAAATAGGGATTGGTATGGTATGGTATTTTTTATTTTAATTCACCATTCACTGGCCAGAAAAAGTCACTTCAATCAGCTGTGTAGTGGATTATTATTAATATTATTATTATTTTCGTATCCGTCCCGAATGGGACTCACGACGGCAGAATTAACTGTGAGCATGTGTGTGTGTGAGAGTGGGAGAACGAAATGAAAAAGAAAAGAAGAGTCTTGTAATAAAGGTCAAATTTAAGAAGAGCAGTACTAGACTAAATGGCTGAGCAGATGTTACTCCATTGTTTTATGTCGCGGGCATAGGTGCCGAGATCACGAAGGTAGCTGGGCTTAAAAGTGCAGATAGGTTTGAGGCGGACGTCTCGCTGGAGACTTGTGGTGAGGCAAGAGCGGGGTGCACCTATTCGAAAGGGCTGACTGGTAGCACATGTACAGAAAGCAGTGAGAGCAACATTTGCAGGGATGTCACTTGGCTGGCGTAATAATTATAATTATGTCCTAATAGCCTCCACCTGTCTCGCTTGGCCATTTCAGATACAGAGCACTGGCCAGTAACAGCATATAAATCTGCATTTGAGATGACATCTGGGTAGGTAATTCCAAGGGTACACCGCAGCTGTTTCCTATGAAACACATCTAGGCGCTTTTCTTGTGCACGGGACAGGCCATAGCAAGCAAGGTTGTAGGTCAAGATTGGTAGAACGAAAGTGTTGCATAAACTAATTTTAATGGGTGTAGAAAGCAGGTTGTGTTTGAACCATAACTTCAGAGTGTCTCCAAATGCTCTTGCGGCCAAGCCAATACGGCGCGTTACGTCCTCCCCGGAGCCGTATAGTGAGCCGATACTAGGCTACAATTTGTGGCGGTCAATTCATCAGCCTTGCAAGCTGTTGAATGGTGTAATCCCTGCACAAGTACGTCTAACATAGCTGTTCGCTATCATCGCTTCTGCGATGGGCATGTCTGAGTCTGAGTGTGTGCATGCATGTGTGTGTATATGTATATGCGTCCAACCTGTTGGAAGGCTACCTTCTTGCAAAAGCATTCGGAAGTTGGACTAGTTTCGGCTCCACAATCCAGTGCGTCGTTACTATAATAGCTTTCATGGCTGAGGTTGTTGGTATGTCTGTTGGTTCTGGGTTCCCAGTACTCAGTAGCCGAGGCTGGGTGGTAAAGTACATGTAACTCCAATTTCACTTCAAGGCACCAGTGCATCTAATGTCTGCTTCTATCAAAGCAGCGTGCTGTTTATACTGGTTACCCCAGCAAGTGTAGGGTGTGCATCGGTAACTGTCTTGGCCGTACTATTCCGATGTACGCCGTGTGGTGTAGACCAGGTATGCATTGGTGGTCGATTCACATGGCTTCGCCAGTTGTGTGGATTAGACAGTTATCTGGCGCAAGTCTTGATCTGTCTCATTCACATCTTGTTCGCTATCGTTGCTATAAGAGAAAATCTGTGGGTGCACGTCCAGTGCATTTGCAGATTTGCGTGCTTCTCTTGCGACGGGCGTATACATGGTACATAGTAACATGGTACATGGATTATGTGTCGGACAGTCCTCACCACTGTGTGTAGAAAGTCACTGAAGGCTGGTTTGCACCTGGTCGAACTGTTACTTCCATACTGGAGGCACTAGTGGTCAAAGAAGAAGCACTCGCTGCGGGAATGGCGGCTGCAAACCGTGTTCTTCTTGTCTCCTGCATCCTTTCCGTGCCTCTGTACGCTGGTACTAATATTAGGCAGATCCAATATAAACGCACATCTTGAGCCGCGATGAAAGTTCTACGAGTATTGGTATATCCGAGAGTACATCCATCATTCACCCCAGTGTCTGGAGATATGTGGATTTTGTAGAAAAAAACGAAAAAAATCCGTGAAAGGACGGTTTTCATGTACATTCTTGGTATACTATATCTCGGCACAGCGCCTGCTCATTACTTGTCAGTTTGTCCTAGTCTCCGTACCATTGTCTTTCCTTATTCTTTTCGAGCTGGTTATGTGAACTTAGTAAATAAATAAATAAAAAATAAAAAACCCAGAAAACTGAACGGATTCGTACTCTCATCCCAGTATCAAACCTCGTACAGTAGACTGTCTACTATAGGCATACATGTATGCGGATAATGCCGGCAGAAAAATTAGCAGAATTCGGTATGTGGATAAAGAAATGGAGCAGAATTCGAGGAATTGCCCACCATGAGGTTTGTATGGTTCTGCCAATTTCAATGCTTTTCGAGCAGAATCTGCCACCTTTTCCAGCATTATCCGCCAATGCCTACAGTGTCTAACGCTAACGCCGCACTCTCGACTACAACCTGTGTGGATATTATTTCTGCCACTCGTCTACAAAGCCAGTTGTAGTTATCACAGTGACACGGTGGCAGGATGCACACAGTATGCCAGCATTTTCCCGCGTTATTTGTACTTTTTTGTTGCACTACACGTACACACAGTGCACTGTTCGGTCAGCAACGTCTCATAGTGGCGGCTTTTACTCAAATATGACGAGTGCTTACACCAGAGACTTGTAACTGATTGATTTCACTACATACTCACTGAAAATTGCCGCACATCAATATTATTCACCGCATATTTACCGCATATTTACCGCAAATTCACCGCAAATTATGCCATAATGCCGCGTTTTTCCCCGCGTGTTTTGCGATTTTTTCCGCAATTTTCCCCGGGGACAGGACGAGTGGCCCAGGTACAGTACACTGTACTACAATGCTGGCAACTGAAATCCGACCCCTGAGCGGTGGGGTGGGTTCACATTCTAGCGGTCTCTGTTTCGTAGTTTTATCATCCTGTGTTGGGTCTTTGTGATGTGAGCTCAGGGGTCGGATTTCAGTTGCCAGCACGGTACATGTATAGCGCACAAGACGAGGGAGAACCAGCGTAGTGGTAAGATGGAAAGCACACCTGGCAAAAGGGCGGTAAATACGAGTAAATACACTATTGATTTGAAGTTTTTTTTTTGGTTTGGGTTTGAAAATCTTTATCTTACACATGCATTTTCTGATTTCTTCTCCAGTGCAGGGTATGAATTTGTTGCATTTTAATCCATTGACCAGGCAGGCACAGTGGGTTGGTCAAAGACCATGATTGAGATACGAGAGGTACCTGGTTCAAGTCTTGCCTGGGAGCGGTTTTTCCAGCCGTGCTGCTACCCACAGTCAACTGGGAACTTGTGGCCAGGCACAAGGGGTACATGAATGCAGCTAATGGGGTCGTTTTCGGCACTTGTGCCAGTGGTTGTGAGACTTACCCACTCACCCCCACCGTAAGGCGCTGCATCTGCCGCTAGGGTTTATCGGGTGTTACCGGCCGTCGTGAGTACCCTTCGGGAACGGACACGATAATTTACTTTTTTTAATCCATTGTTTTAATTTGCCCGTAAAAGAGGCCAAAAAAAGAAAAAAGAAAATATTTTAAGGTGGCTCCTACCCCTCGGGTCCAATTTTTTTTGTTTGAAACGTGGCTACAAATGATTGCACTTTGTTCCGTTGGATATCTAGTGTACGGAGACGAATTTTTATCAAGTTCTACCGGCCGGTTTCACTCGGGGGAGGGGCCAAACATAGCGTACTCACAATTGCCAATTTAGGCCAAAAAATACCGGAAAACCAGTTTTTTGGCCGTAGCACTGGTAGTTACCCCCTTTTTCTTGATGACCAACATCAGAACAGTAGTATACTTGCTAAATATCAGCATTAGCTGTAGAAGTGGGCAGAATTCTGCTAGAAGGTGACTTTTTTCTCTTTTCGGAATCATCCCATTTCAGCGCACACGTCCCACATATTAGCCCCGCCCACAAGTATTTGACACTGGACTTGCCCTGTATTCGATGGTTATGCTATCATAACCTAATAATGGTACTGTGTAGCAAGTTTGAGCAGGTTCTACCGAAGGTAACTCGTGAAATAAAACTTTGAAGTTTCAAGTGATGCCATATTTCAAGATTCAGCACATTGCACTGGGACATTGTCCAACGCCTTAGAACCCCTGACTCCACCATATGACAGATACGTGTCTTACAATAATTGATTGCAACATCTTCCGAACATAGTAGTAGAGCTTTGGATCAAGTTTTAGCAGTTTCCACCGAAGCTAACTACCAAAACAGAACTTTGAAGTCGCCCACATACTAAATGCCATAGCTGAGCATGTGCATTGAGTGTATGGTCTAAAGGTTTTCACAACTAGCTCCAATGCGGCAGATACGTGTCTTACATTACTTGATTGCAACATCTTCAGAACATAGTAGTAGAGCCTTGGATCAAGTTTAGACAGTTTCCACCGAAGCTAACTACCAAAACAGAACTTTGAAGTCGCCCACATACTAAATGCCATAGCTGAGCATGTGCATTGAGTGTATGGTCTAAAGGTTTTCACAACTAGCTCCAATGCGGCAGATCCTTGGCTTACATTACTTGATTGCAACATCTTCAGAACATAGTAGTAGAGCTTTGGATCAAGTTTAGACAGTTTCTACCGAAGCAAACTACCAAAATAGAACTTTGAAGTCGCCCACATACTAAATGCCATACATGTAGATGAGCATGTGTATTGAGTGTACATGTATGTTCTAGTGTTTTTCACAACTTTCTCCAACATGAAGCCGATAGTGATGTGGAATTTGTTGACTGCTTTGTCCAAAACATAGTGCTGAAGCAATGCACATTAGGCACTTTCTACTGGTAATGTAATTATTATATTATACAGTGTTTGCTGCCAACATAGCAAGAAATTCTTCTATACTAAATGCGTATTCCACGGGGTACGGTCCAATGGCTTTTCACTTCACATCTAGCCAATGTTCTTCGTGCATTACTTGAATGCTTAGTCTCCGTGGTAATGAAGCTAAGAGCCACACTGGAGAAGTTTCTACTGAAGCTAACTATCAAAAATCTAAAATTTCCAAGATGCTACTATTTACATCAAGTAGCTGTGTGCAATGCCACTCTGTTGAACACAGTAAGCAAAATCGAGTCACTAAAACCCTATTTGCCAGATACAAGCTGTTGAGACTGATAGCAGCTGTATGATCTGATATGGATGGTGGTTCCACACTGACCAGCACATGTACACGCGCACAGGCAGAAGAACACACAAGTAATACACCTAACGTTACTTCGAAGTACACTGTGTACATCATGTAAATACAAGCGTATATACAAGCATCACTCCTGTTCTCCACAACCGGCAGTCCTGGGCCACTCCAGCTGGTCAGAGTGCAATAATTTCTGCAGCAGGCTTGACTTGGAAAGCTACTCACAACTGCCATGGCTGCAACATGAGTATTACCAGCGCTTTTACAGCGCTACTTGTATTATATTATTGTCAATCCATAGTGGTGCATGGCACTCGTTTTCAACAACCGAGTTTATGTCATTAGTTGCATATCCAACGCCAGCAGAAAAAAGAGGGGGTGGGGGCAAATTACCACGGTTCAACACTAGTCATACTGAACGGCGTTATGCCATGCCAGGCACGCACACAAAACGCCCGCGCGAGCGCGCATGCATGTACACACCCGGGTGACACACATTGATGCGACTTTACATAGCCTGCACTGTCGTTCTATGTCATAGGAGTGAGTGCACACACATATAATGTACATGTAGATTGCCTAATTTTGCATACGTAATAAAATTGTATATGTATACACACGTGTGCGTGCACATATAGATAAACTCAACGGCATACGCATGAGTGTGTGCCAGTAGGGCCACATGCCAATTATCGGATTAGTCTGTGAAAGTTGCACGGCACGACAAACTTTCGGACAGTCTAAATATATGACACAATGAATGTGGAACACCCTCCAGTGTGTAAGACCATTTCATATCTATTTCGCAGCGTTTGTGATTTTCGGAGCGTCCCTGTTGATATTTGATGTCCTCACTTGGTTGATGACACAGTCACAAATTATCAAATTCACCTCCAATGCCATCCAATCTGCGTTCCGCGATACATGTACAGTGAACGGTGTTGAGGAAAGCCATGCAGCAATAAAACAGTCGAGACTCCCAACCAGAGGCTACAATTCAACAGCGTATTGAAGTACGAATTGTTGTAAACAATTTTCAAGACACAATTACAAAATTTGAAGTGCGTCTTGAAACGTGTTTGAAGTGCTTCGATGTATTTACCTTCGATCTCCCTGAATCGATCCATCCACAGCTACCTGACGAATTTGCTAGTCAGTGCGGGAGATGATCGAGCAAGTTATACTATTTGAAGGTCGCGAGATGTCAGTGGCACTGACAGGAAATCTACACAAGCGTGTTCTGAAATAATTTTCTAATACTCAGGCATGATTCAAGAGCGGACTTTGATTTCTCCCTTCTTATGGTACGAGCACCAGTCGACATTGCATTCTTGGAAAATCTTCTGCGAGTGCTGCCTTCCCCTTTCATAGAAAGAACGAGTGAAGAGGGACACTAGCAGCAGGTTCTAGCTAGGTCGCCAGAATTGCAGAAAAGCGAGAAGACGTTCACCAACGATTGATCGCACAAAAATCATCGCTACCGAAAAATTTACTGAAAATCTACACTTTTCAAACGATGCGCGCGCAGAGGGTGTGAGCCACCTTAACTCGGATGGTGAGCCAATTGGATTATTGTGAAAAGAAGGACAAAACTCGGGTTGGTGGCCAGTTAGTCATAACTCGAAACAGGTTGTCCTTCTTTTCACAATAAAAAAAGTAAATACAAGTAAAGACACCACGCTCTCCAAGCTGCAATGTTCTAGCAATGAGCACTCTTTCTCTTACCACCACCACCATCAATTCTCGCCTCGCGCGTAGTCAATGCACGGCTAGTGAAGTATTTTATTCATTTCGCAGATTATGGGGAAGTTAAAGTCAAATTGTCACGGTAATCATAACACTAAACCTACTCATCTTTTGACACAATCTTTATTAGGAAACTTGAATTGGAGATGTGAAAACAAAATACACCCATGTAGATGGAGCAGCAATGCAATAATAATAATAATAATAATTCGCGGGATTCGCGTTGGCATCGCTTGAATGTTCAGAAACACACAAACTAGCCTTCGCTTCCGCAGGCCACCACTATGCCTATGCCTTGCACACCTTAGTGGCGAATGCAGACCTCACAAGTGAGTCAGGGGAGAGTAGGTGAGTCTCTCAACCAATCGGGCGTGTAACGGCCCATAACCCTGTAAACTGCATCCTTGTTACCCTCACTCCGAGCTGTGAGTACCCAGTTGACCGTGGGTGTCGGCGCAGTTCACCACGCATAAAGAGTCTTTACTCACGTAAAAAGTCTTTACACGCTCCCTGCTACCAGCGCGGGTCTCGAACTCGGGACCTCATGATTCGCAGGCAGGCCAATGCAATACAAAGTCTAAAAACTCAAAAAATCACTTTCATGGGACAATGTTCGGCAAATGTCTGTGAGGTACCATCACGCTCAGGCTGCCCTCAGCCGGCACAAAGTCGTGAAGTTCATCCATTTGCGGTGGTATCCCTACGGTTCACCGAAAACGCGTTCACAGAAAGACCATTCACAGAACGACGTTTCACCGAAAGACATTTCACAGAGTGTAAGATTTAGCGACTGTTCACTTCCCCGAAAACCAGGATCACAGAAAACAGGTTCATCGACAGCATGTTCACCGAATGTCGGTGAAATGGGCATTCTGTGAACAGGGTATTCGGTGAGCTGTCATTCGGTGAGCTGTCGCTCGGTGAACTGTCGCTCGGTGAACTGCCGTTCGGTGATATGTCTTGTAGACGGTTGCGGCGGTACGATGATCTCGAACCACGCAAACAGGTGACTGCCCATCGCATAAGGCAGAATGACAGCCTGCAGCGGAGGTGACCCATGATGGCCGATAGGTGAAGGTCGACGTTTTTTCCGCAATCAGGCATGCTAGTGTCTTCAGGACCATTGAACACTCTCTGCCAATCATGCCAGAGGTAGAGAAAACTAGAGGTGTAACTTAGGGTTGGTTCACATAAGCAAAATCGGCGCCGCAAGACATCGCAAGACATCGGCGGTGAGCCAGCTCCCGATCCGTTGCGCATACGGCTCGAGTACCACTGCACTGCACTGGTTGGTATAAATCGTAATGCGCCGGGAGAGGTTGCAAGAGGCCCACTCCCGCTCGCTCCCGGCGCGTACCGGCGATATGTGAACCAACCCTTGGGGTTGTCCACTGCAAACCTACTCATCTGCTACTTGTGGTACATGTGCTAATTACAAAGCTCGCCCCTTTCCGTTAGATCAGCGGATACATTTGCTTGCTGTTGCCAGCCACTCTATTCCAAACCGGCCTCACAATACCAATGCACGCATGATGCAGCATTATCTTCAGACCTATAACACCCAGGTCCTTACAGAGTGATAAGCTGGTATGATCAATGCATCGATTTTCACTGCGGTATAACATCAGTGTCTGTGCTGACTGCTGGTTCGAGCCAACAATTCAGTTACTGAAGGCCACTGCATGCAAAGACTTCGTTCCGGAACAGTACCTTGAACCGTATGCCAATGCCATGTAGTTTTACATTGTTTTCGGGTCACTGGGCAGACGTGAACTTGTGTTCAAGAAAGTATTCGCTTAGATCACGCGTACAGTACTGGTCCTTTGGTCAATGTTGCCAACTTGGTTTTGACGTTTTGGCGACGGGATGTAGCTATTCAAAGAGGACCTGGGAGGAAGACAAGTGTTGCGAACAATTTGATGCAGTCGCAAGTGGCAGGTGACCCTTGCGGAAACAACTTGACGGTTTGTCTGCGCTCCTGATTATTGTAGTGACAATAAATGAATGAACAAGTCCGCTGTTTTGCCTTTCCGAGGCCGTTCAGTGAACCGAAACCTGGCGTTGGCAAGGCGCGCGCGCGTGTGTGTGTGTGCGTGTGTGCGTGTGCGTCTGAAGACCACTCGTCCATTGCCGAGCCAGACGGCGACTTGCAAACCAAGCATACAGGCATCCAGCCACGTTCACAGTGATCCTGGTCGTTGATGAGCTCTACACTACAGCGAGCAGTAATTAATACTTCGAGAACTAGCTCTTGAATAGTAGCTGATAGCCCCTTCCAATCTTGTTTAGATCGTCCATACACCGAGTTCAGCAAGGACTTCACTACCGCTCCTGGGTCTACTGTAGAACTCGCTGAAAGGATTGGACATTGGAGCAGGTTTTCCGGCGCATGCATCCTCATCGAGTGTGTTTATCAGCAAGATCATCGATCAGAGTACGAGAGCGAGTGAGGTGAGTGTGAAATCATTACTTTCGCTGTTACCGAAAACATTACTAGTCAGGTACGTTCATTGGTTTGAGGCAAAGATGCAAACGGGAAAAGTCTGAAGAAAATGTTGCCTGCTACCACCAGAACTCGAACCAGGGACCTTCGCTTGAGGCCAGGGATGCTCTAACGACTGAGCTAAGGTGTAGCTGTCATCCCAGCAGAGACCGCACAAGTCTGTCATGTAATAATTATGTCATGGTCATTAGGGATATCCCTCGATCACAGACTGTCCCTGGAGCTAACTTAGGAACCATTGATGCACTTTGGTGATCCCGAGTTAACAGCTAGTCAACCCCTGCAGTTCAGATTAAGCAGGGAACGGTGTGAAAACCCTGGCAGTTTGCAAGTACAATACTACATTTGTTAGTGTGTGTGTATTCTTCACGGATACAATCGACAAAGGGTGAAGCAAGGAGTCGGGCAGGTTTGACAGTGCTTCTCCTTTGACCATTATTGCCTGCGGTAAAATTAATGTGAAAATCATTATTAATTACATCATAAGTTAGTGGCAACGTATCCCTGCATAAGTGAAAGTCTCAGGTTCAAGTTATGCTGGTGTCGGTCAATTTCTTCTACAGAACTGATGTTTCCCGTTTCAACTCCCAAGACGACGAATATCAACTTTCAAACATGATCCTTGTGACTAAATGGCGTGTCGTACAAGTCTCTGCTAGTGTTTTAATAGGCAAGAACCAGTTGGGATGTACATGTACAGTACGTATCGCCTATAGCGTTGGTCTTTTGATTGTGAGCATTATTATCACCATTAAAGGGATACTATTATACTTCTCTTACTGATACTGCACTGTGAACTATTCCAACACCACTCAATCCCTGCATATACAGGCGCGTGCCCCGTATGGGTTCCTGGGTGCCCGGAACCCCCCCCCCTTTTCCCTCAAAATGCAGGATTTTGCTTCATTTTTGGAAAAATTTCCCGGGGAGGCCCCCCCCCGGAACCCCCCCCCTTGAAGGGCACCGGCGCACGCGCGTGATATATGGGACATTATGGTGCTGGCCATGTTGGTTCCACTGTCCACATGCCATGGGCCATGACCAGCGGAAGCAGTTTTGATTGGTCTCGCCATACCCTAGCCTTTCATACAGTTTGTGTATGATATAGTGGGTACACACGACCTCCTCAGCAGTAAACACACGCGGTGGTGACCTAAAATATTGGTCCGGCCAACCGGACCGCTTCCGCCAGTAGCCCTTTCCCAAAGGTGCTCGCCTTTTTTGGCCCTTTTTGGCCCTTTTGGAAAAGCCCGTTTCTTTCACCCTTTATTGCGTTTTTTGGTGAAAATCGCCCTTTTTTTAAAGCTTTTTTAGCTGAGAAAGTGTAAAATCTGTTTGCTCATGCATGCGATCACAGTTTCCGAGTGCTCGATGAGCCTTGGCACGCCGCTTTTTTGGGGGCAATAAGTTGGTGAAGCTCGTACTTTGTACACAATGCTGTAAAAAGTGTTTTTTATACTTTACTTCCTGTTTTGCCTTTCGTGGACCCATAAAGGGAAGAGTGCGTATTCATTTCTCAGCTTGGGTTCATATCTGAACATGACTATTGTATCATGGCTATGCTTCACTGAAAAAAGAGCGCTTCTTGCCTGTTTTCACTGAAAAAAGAGCACTTTTTCAGCATATTTTGAGGGACGCGAAAAGCACTAAGTGCGAATTAAAAGAGCACCTCTGGGAAAGGGCTATCTGCCAGGCCTGTGATTGCTATATACATAAAATGTAATGTAGTCGTGCATTACAAAGAGGTGTAGCTGTTGCAAAAGAAGGATCCACGAGCGCGATTTGGACCCAGCACCCCTGTCTTTCCGGTACAGTGCCCTACCGATTAGGCTAACGGGGATCACACACACCCACCCGTGCCTCCTTCTTGCAATATATCCCCTCTATGCAATCCACAAGTGGCATAGCAATAATGGCTTAGGAAGTGAAATCCAGGAACGACTGTGTGCCTGGTGACACACAGTCAACAGCTACCATATTACGATAGCATGCAACTGCACCACAAGACTGCACACTGCAACTACAGCAGCCTTAAACAGCAGGCCAAAAGCGAGGGTCCTCGATTCCATCAATTCCTGGTGGTGACACTCCATTGTTTCTTCAGACTTTATCTGTCCAAATTTCCTCGAACACTTGTTGACAACTACTATTGTGGAGCCGTTGCTGCTTTTGTGGTGGGTCTCATGTGCTCTCCTCCTGCCGTTTTAGGAGCTGCATCTGTGCCTTCATCCATAGAGGGTGGGGGCGTTCCTGCGGATGCGGAAAACTTGGTTGGAGTCTCATGAGAACCGATAATTATTTTGCTTCCCCCTCCCCCTCCCCTCCCTCCCCCCTCCCCTCCCCCTCCCCCCCCCCCCTCCCCACTCCTTCTCAGCATACACACCTGTGCTCGGTAGCACAAGAGAATGAGCAGAACGTTGTGTGAACGACACATAGGAGTAGCATCACCGTAACTTGCTCTTCCGTTAGACTTTCCGGTTTAACAGTAGATTGAGTATCCTCCGGACTACATTCTTTTTTTCATCATATACTACGGACTTAGACTACCTGGGGCTTCACGAGGTGTTTGTCGCGCTGGAAACAAAGCGTATCTGTAAGTTTGTATCCCTGGTGATGGTTTGGCCTGGAGAGCAGTATATAAGTGGTGCTTTTCAGGCACAATCTTCCTCAACTTACTCAAGCTCAACTGATGAGGGGTAAATTCCCCGAAACACTGTGTATTGAGCAGGGAGCGGTGCTTTCCCGCAGGTATGCCGAGTCGAAGGTTCGATGGACTTCTCGTGTGCTCTGGATGGCAGTCGTGAGTCAGTCAAGTGTCAAGTCAAGTCGGCGGAATAGCGCGAGCTCCAGTGTGGGAGCAAACCCATTCCTAAATCACCGATACTTGTTCAGAAAAACAGGATGCGGTGCGTTCATTTCCATGCAATGGTATCAGTATATGTGGGATTTTTAATTTGAGAACATGGAAAACGGTGGGGCAAAAGTCATGCGTTAGTGTCCACCAACCGAACCAGATCTTTTAAACAGTCAGACGTGCACAAGTTAGCACCGGACGGACATGGAGTACTGAGCCATTCCACGGCAAGAAAGTGAGCTTGAGCACTGCTCGGTAGTGCTAACCATTGTGGTTAGACCGTATTGTCCAATGATATTACCATCCTGCTATCGTGCCAAGCAAACATTCCATGGAGCCTGGCTACATGCAGGTAATCTAGTTTGTGTTCGGCTTGATGGTGCTTACCTTCCCCTCGTTGGAATTACAACTATCACTAATATCCATGAACCTTCCATGCTGAAAGGCCGTCGGTTTGTTGGTTGGCGCTATCAAGCAGTGCTCAAGCTCACTTTCATTTTTGAATGTTTCAGTACTCCTTGTCAGTCTGGTGCTAACTGGTGCAGGTCTGACTGTTTGAAGAATCTGGTTGGGTTTGTGGACTCTAACGTATATTAATAACTTGTGCCCCACCATTTCCCAAGTTCTCACTTTAATAATATTCCCTTGGTTCACTCCCTGGTTCTAACTTTGATTTTTTATTTATTTATATTGCAGATGGTCTGGAAGTAAAAGGAAAATGTCGAACTGGTGCGTTCCCGGAGCACTGCATGTTGCAGTGGTGTTAGCCATTGTGTCATCCACTCGGTATCATCCGGATGGCGGGTGGAATGGGTTTGCTAATGCCCTGGGCGGTACCAGCTCTGAACCAGTACCCCCAACTCCGTCGGTGTACACGTTTGAGTCGTTGACACCGACGGCGAGCGGCAGAGTGAAGGACAGTGGGACCCTCTTTGTTAGCAGTAAGTCAGTTGAGTCTGGCTTCTCATCACCTGGGGAAATATTCTGTGGCTATAGCCTGAATGAATCATGTCCCAGCTTGATGGACGCTCTGTGGACAGCTCACCACATTGACCAATCTAACCGACCGTATCAGCTCACGATTTTACTTGTCCCCACTGCGCTTCATGGCTGTAAAATCTCAGCAGGGTCACGACAGTTCGAGCACACCTTCCGTTTGTGGTTCAAAATGCTTACGATCGCATCCCGCACCAGCTCTGATTGCCCAAGCGGGGCTATTCTTGTACTTGTAGATGAATCCCACATGTCATCTCCTGGGCCTGTATACTTACCGTTTAGTTCTGGCAGGTTAGACTTAGGGTTAAGTAGTTTCAAACTGGTGGAAGTTAACTTCAAAGCTATTTCATTTAGCACTGAGAACTTTGGCTGCAGTTCACATTCGAACTACATCCCGCTAATCACATTGGATTTTAATGGTCTGGTAACACTGTACAGGCTATCAATTTTGTTCCAAAACTGCAGTTTCCAAGTTAGTACTGGCTGTTTTCCAATGCAATTATGGATTAGGAGTGCTGAAGTTAAGGTGTTGTATGATAATTGCAAGTTCTTTAGCACAGAACAACACATAGCCTTGCTGGGCTCAGTAATCTTGATCGAGTCATTCGTGGAGGACAGTTGGAGCTACAGATTATACCGGAATATTTCCTTCCATATGCAACACTGCGAGTTCTTTAACATCAGAAGTCAAATCACCAATGGTTCATTTATTTCATTCAAATCAAATCTTCCGATCAGTGACATCAGCATCCACCTAAGGAACTGCACCTTCAGGGATAATGCCTTATCGCAAATAATACACTGGCAGGATGCATGTCCATCAAGATTATCCTTGAAGATCACATCAACTTCCTTTGAAAGGAACACGGTAGAGCGCCTATTTCACGCAGCCAGTAATAGTATTGACATGCTAGTCACAAACACAGACTTCCAGGGGATGACCATCTTGCAGGGGAGCAGCCCGCATGGCCTAATGTCCATTGAAGCTGACAGGGGCAATGTTCGAATCAGCAACTGTAGCTTCAGTGGCAGTACTAGTCAAGAGGAAGAATTAGCCTTGCCGACCTGCCCCACATTGGCATCATACATCGTTCTTACTGGAGCAGCATCCAACATAACGGTTTTCATCGAGAATAGTGTGTTTCAAGTCATCGACAACAGGCTACCACTGTCCAGCATGCTACTGATTGCAGCAGACAAGGCGCCCACCCCCATCATCCTATCAGGCAGCAATGCTATAAGGTAAGTGCGGTGCAAACCCAATATCCACTAGACAGTTGCAGCATCTAGGGAGATTACATGATGGAGCATCTGCAAACTGAAATGATGATGGTTTGGCTGAGATATGCAGGGGTGAAGCAAGACAGAGGGAACGGTCGATAATGCGAACTCTTCCTGCTTCTACGAGAATTGATAAATTTGGGTTTTGATTTGGTGTATGGTCATTGGTTTTGCACTGATGTTGATTGCATATCTACTAGTTTACGGATTGCTCTCTCTCTTCTCTCTCTCTTTCTCCCTCTCTCTCTCTCTCTTTCACTCTCTCTCTCTCTCTCTCTTTCTCCCTCTCTCTCTCTCTCTCTTTCACTCTCTCTCTCTTCTCTCTCTCTTTCTCCCTCTCTCTCTCTCTTTCACTCTCTCTCTCTCTTCTCTCTCTCTTTCTTCCTCTCTCTCTCTCTCTTTCACTCTCTCTCTCTCTCTCTCTCTCTCTCTCTCTCTCTCTCTCTCTCTCTCTCTCTCTCTCTCTCTCTCTCTCTCGCTCTCGCACTCTCTCTCTCTCTCTCTCTGGAGAATGGCAGCCAGCACTCTACCACCCTCTCCACTTCGCATACATACTTATTCTTCCAAGTTGCTTCACGTTAATGAGAGGGTGATGGTTGCAATTCTACACGTTATAAATGGATCGGCATATAGAGCCTTCACACCAATATTCAATTCTCTTTCTGTGCTGACTTACAGAGGCCAACATATTAAGACGAGAGGTCCCCTTTTCCCGGTGGGTAGCGTCGTCTTGATAAATGGTGGCCTGGAGACAAACTTCGATTCCAGCTTCTTACAGCGGCTGGAGGGCCAGGGAGCTCGTGTAGTGTTCCGTAAGGTAAGCAATTGGGAGTGCTAGCTCTGTGTACACTTTGCTGCTGCATAAGGATAGCTAATAGCTGGTGTACTTCAGTGGTTTGGTATTAAGGTTGTGGTGTCGTAGTCATTAGGCGCAGTGAATTCAGTGCTAAGCCATCAGATGTACAGTGCTAAGCCATCAGATGTACAGTGCTAAGCCATCAGATGTACAGTGCTAAGCCATCAGATGTACAGTGCTAAGCCATCAGATGTACAGTACTAAGCCATCAGATGTACAGTGCTAAGCCATCAGATGTACAGTGCTAAGCCATCAGATGTACAGTGCTAAGCCATCAGATGTACAGTGCTAAGCCATCAGATGTACAGTGCTAAGCCATCAGATGTACAGTGCTAAGCCATCAGATGTACAGTGCTAGGCCATCAGATGTACAGTGCTAAGCCATCAGATGTACAGTGCTATTATTATTATTATTATAGACAACACCTCATGGCATGAGAAGAAAATCAGCCAGTACGGGAGATGTGGGTGTTAACCAACCATGGTGAATAAAAGAAGAAAAGTAATGGTCAAGACGGAGAAGCATGGGAGGGACAGGTGATGGTGAATCTAGTGAGAAGATTTAAATGCGTCCAGGGTACTGGCATTGCGCGTAGTAGCGGGCAGCGCAAGCCAAGCAGAGTAAGCAACAAAGAGTGGAGAGCGTACAAGGGAGGACGTTTTAGTCAAGGGGAGGGCAACAGAGCATCTTGTCTGGGAGCCATCTGTGATTCGGAACCAGTTATACACGTTAAGATGAGGAGGATGTAGAGCTAGTTTAAATTTGTGAGCAAAAGTGCAAATTAATTTTTGACGGTGGGTCGACAGTGGGCAAGCATTTGCAAGGACATACAGGGAAGCAGAAGAGTAGAGAGGGGGTAGACTAAACAGGATACGAAGAAGTTTTCTATGGTGGATTTCGAGACGCTCAGCGAGAACCGAGGACAAGCCACACCAGCTAACAGCAGCGTACATGAAAAGAGGCAGGATGTACAGTTTGTAAAACAAAATTTTACATTTGAAAGGAAGATGGGAACAATGGGGACGTATAACACCTAGGGCAGAGCTTGAACGGCTGCAAAGAGCATCAATATGGAAAGACCAAGAGAGACGATCATCAAGCATTATTCCCAGTTGTTCATGGTTGGAAACAACCTTTATGGGTTCTGGGAAATCAGGATGGTGTAAAATTGACATGGATGAGATTGGGGGAAGGAACATTATTTCAGTTTTAGTCAGGTTGGGTCTAAGTCGCCATGTTTGCATCCAGCCTAGGACACTGCATATCTGAGCCGACACTCGAGGTACAAGAGCCGCTGAGGACGAGGATGCTGACAGTAGGGTTGTATCATCAGCAAATAACGAGACACCTGGGTCTATAGAGGGTAAATCATTTACGTATGCTACGAACAAAAGAGGTCCAAGTATGGAGCCTTGGGGAACTCCAGAAGACACTGGTAGAGGATCAGAGTTGATGGAGAGGGCAGAAACAAACTGGGATCGGCTACTCAGATAGGACTCCAGCCAGGACAGAGCAGGGCCAGACACACCAAAGACAACATGTAGCTTGGCAAGGAGGCCACGATGCCAGACAGTATCAAAGGCCTTTGCCAAGTCAAAGAAACAGAGAGCAATATGGCGTCGAGCATCACGAAGGATGGCAATGTCTTGTACTAGACGAGCTAGTTGGTCAGAGGTTGAGTCGTTGCGCCGAAAGCCAGATTGGGAAGGGCTAAGGCATGGTGAAATGTGGCAATACAACTGGTCGTAAAATACCTTTTCACATACTTTTGAAAGGGAGCAGAGAAGAGATATTGGACGAAAGTTTGAGGCTTGTGATCGGGAGCCTTTACACTTGTAGATGGGCGTGACCTTAGCGATCTTCCAACGATCAGGAAATACGCCGGAGGAGTAGGAAAGGTTGAATATAAGGCACAGTGGGTACGCCAGAGATGGAGCCAGAACTTTGAGAACTTCATTTGGTAGGGCATCAGGACCAGGGCTTTTGTTGCTTTTTAGTCTTTTTAGGTAGCTGCGAACAGATGATGTGGTGGTATGTATAGAGCGCAGATCAGAAGACACAGTCGCAGAACGTTGCAGAGGTGGTATTGGAGAGGAATGGTCGTCTGGAATACCAGCTGATGTGAATTGCGTATTGAGAGTATTAGCTATAGACTTGGGGTCAGTCACCATCGAACCATTGGAAGCTAATAACGGTGGTATGTCTTGACGTGTACTAGTTGTCCTTTGAGTGCGAACAAAGGTATACAGGTTAGGCCTGGAAGAGGGGTGAGATAGGGTGGTAGTGAGCGAACGTAAATATGCTCGATACTTAGAACGTGACAATGACTTCACCAGATTGCGCTGTTTTTTGTATAAAGAAATATTAGCATAGGTGGAGTACTTCTTACTTAAGCTGTAGTAGTCGTATTTGAGTTTAATTGCACCTTGGAGATCTTTGTCGAGCCAAGGGATCTTGGGGTTACGGCTGGACTGACGAGGGTGGTGGCTGCCATGTTTGGGTGTAGCGGGTCTTGCTCCGTATTGTGGCACATAGAAGGAGAGCACGTCATCAAGAACTGTGGTGAACTTCTCCACAGCTTCATCAACAGCAGTGGAGGTGAATAAAAGATGCCAGTCACAGGCAAAAAGTGCAGAGTTGATGATTGACCAAGTGGAGGGTGTAACCTTGCGGAAGGCATGTCGCGGAGGGGTAGGAGTCTGAGAGCAGTTGTAAGAGGTGTTAGCAGTGGCAATGTTGTAGGCTAGCGTTGTAATGACTTGCAAATGATCCGATTCAGCAAGCGGGGCAGCATCGTCAACAGAACGTACAGAGAGGGGGCGGTTCGTAGCCAGCAAGTCCAGACAGGACAGTCTTCCATTCGGAGCGACACGGGTGGGGAAATTGACAAGCTGCTGGAGGCCAAAGCTAGAGAAGCCATCAGATGTACAGTGCTAAGCCATCAGATGTACAGTGCTAAGCCATCAGATGTACAGTGCTAAGCCATCAGATGTACAGTGCTAAGCCATCAGATGTGCAGTGCTAAGCCATCAGATGTACAGTGCTAAGCCATCAGATGTACAGTGCTAAGCCATCAGATGTACAATGCTAAGCCATCAGATGTACAGTGCTAAGCCATCAGATGTACAATGCTAAGCCATCAGATGTACAGTGCTAAGCCATCAGATGTACAGTGCTAAGCCATCAGATGTACAGTGCTAAGCCATCAGATGTACAGTGCTAAACCATCAGATGTACAGTGCTAAGCCATCAGATGTACAGTGCTAAACCATCAGATGTACAGTGCTAAGCCATCAGATGTACAATGCTAAGCCATCAGATGTACAATGCTAAGCCATCAGATGTACAGTGCTAAGCCATCAGATGTACAGTGCTAAGCCATCAGATGTACAGTGCTAAACCATCAGATGTACAGTGCTAAGCCATCAGATGTACAGTGCTAAGCCATCAGATGTACAGTGCTAAACCATCAGATGTACAGTGCTAAGCCATCAGATGTACAGTGCTAAGCCATCAGATGTACAGTGCTAAGCCATCAGATGTACAATGCTAAGCCATCAGATGTACAGTGCTAAGCCATCAGATGTACAGTGCTAAGCCATCAGATGTACAGTGCTAAGCCATCAGATGTACAGTGCTAAGCCATCAGATGTACAATGCTAAGCCATCAGATGTACAGTGCTAAGCCATCAGATGTACAGTGCTAAGCCATCAGATGTACAGTGCTAAGCCATCAGATGTACAGTGCTAAGCCATCAGATGTACAATGCTAAGCCATCAGATGTACAGTGCTAAACCATCAGATGTACAGTGCTAAGCCATCAGATGTACAGTGCTAAGCCATCAGATGTACAGTGCTAGGCCATCAGATGTACAGTGCTAAGCCATCAGATGTACAGTGCTAAGCCATCAGATGTACATGTAGATCTACAGTACCCCACAATGAAATCCGAGCGGGTGAGTCTAGCAAGCGCTGGGTGCTGTGCAGCCAACACCCACCTGCAAACACTGGTATGCGCACTGGTGCAGGGTACAGGCTTGCCTCGCAAAATTGGATTTCATTCAGCAGCACTGCACTGCTGACTGCCACACATCAAGATCTGTGTGAAGTTGACGGACTCCAACTCCCAGCTTGTGCCTCATTGCTTCTTACCTTTTTTTAAATCTTCACATTAAGTTAATGGCTAGGATCGGGTGGACTTGTCCCCTCACCCTCATCGTTAGGAGCTGCATGTCAATATGCCACTGCGTTTACCGGGTGTTAGCGGCTGTCGTGAGTTCCACTGGGAGAGGACATGTTGGTATACATATTTTTAGGGCAATTTTCACCTACTGTTCATATGCTACAAGTAAGAAAGATATCTCTTGGGGGAAATTATCCAGTGTCAATATCATTGTGAGTGAGTCCGCCTTTCTTGTCTTCTCTGTTGACAGCTGAGCAATTACCATTTTATGAGAGCCGCTGAAAGAGACAAGGGCTACGAAAAGATGATCGTCAATACATCAATGGGTCTAGCTGTCCACAATCTCTACCAGTTCAGTGGGTCGTGTGGCATTGACAGAAGTCACTATGATCCAAGCCAGGTAAAAGAAAATGTGATAGTGTTATGCTGGAGATAGATTGTGCATGTGTCAGTGTAGGTAGATGCAGCACTGGAAGCAGCAATGAAACCAGGAGTGACAGCATCAGCAGCAGCAGCAGTAGCAGCTATGATCACAAGTGTTGTTAAAGAAAGGCTGAGCTTTTACCGAAGCCAATGGCCCTCGTCCCTTTCTTAGCTCTTACCCCGACCGTGCGTGCCCCTTCCATGGACTTGCTCCTGCCCCTGGCTCCTGTCCAGGCCACCCTGCCCCTTACCCTGGCCCTGCCCCTTACCCTGGCCCTGCCCCTTACCCTGGCCCTGCCCCTTACCCTGGCCCTGCCCCTTACCCTGGCTCTGCCCCTTACCCTGGCCCTGCCCCTTACCCTGGCCCTGCCCCTTACCCTGGCCCCGGCCCTGCCCCTTACCCTGCCCCTGACCCCTTACCCTGGCCCCAGCCTGCCATTACCCAGGCCCTGGCCCTTACTGTGACCCCAGCCCTGCCACTTCCCCGGCCATGTTCCTTCCCCTGGCCCTGTTCCCTCAGTGCACTGGGCCTACCCTGCCCTGGCCCCTGCCCCTGGCCTTGGCCCCTGCCCTGGATCTGGCACTATCCTCAAAAAGAACCTTAGCATCTTTCCAAAGGGAAAGGCTCAAGATCCAGCACAGTAACCATTCCTAACAACATGACAGTAATTCTTTTTCTTTTTTTACTATTGACACAGCCCTACTGGAAAACAGGTGGAGAACAAAAAGCAACGAGGAAAAGGACAAAACACAGGGGATGTAGGGACGATGTGCTGATGTGCTGGGAGCAACTCAACCGACCAGAGGTCTCGGCATCAGCGTTGCAACTAGGCATCGAAACATGTGTGTGTGTGTGTGGGGGGGGTGTTGCACAAGAACAAACAGAAGCTAGAGAACACCACAAAAATAATAACTTGGTGCGAAATAATGAGAAGAAAATAATGACGCCCAAAAGCGCTAAATACGAAATTAAGAAAAAGGGAAATCATAAACCACATAGCGCTAAAGCTGCACCAAATAATAATTTAAATTATTCCCGTAGCTATGCAGAAGACGTTACTTCAGTAACGTCTGGCGCTAGCCAGGGTCCACACAGCTTTAATTCCCGTAGCCATGCAGAAGACGTTACTTCAGTAACGTCTGGCGCTAGCCAGGGTCCACACAGCTTTGATTTGGTATTTGTTTGTTTGTGTGTTTGTGTCACCCCTGGAGCTATCTCGTATCTGTCCCGTATCTGTCCCGTATCTGTGACTACAAAGGCTCTACAGGATTGTACATAACAGCTGGCCACAATATTTGCTGGCTCCCGTATCTGTGCCGTACCGTACCATCAAACACAGCTGGCCACAAACAGCTGGGCACAATATTCGTCGTATTATGTATACGACTCCCTGATGAGTAGGGAGATTTGGAAAGAAATAGGGAGACGAGGAGGAAATGAAATTGAAATGGACGTTAGTTGCCGAATAGGTGATAGGATGCGTCAGCAAAAACATACTTTGGAAGAGAGATCCCGTCTTCTCCAAAATAAACGTGCACGAGCGATTCAGCGCCGGTCACAGGAAACGACGGAAGAGAGATCCCGTCGACTCCAGAACGCCCGTGATCGGCAGAGTCAGCGCCGGTCCCAGGAAACGTCAGGACAGACATCCCGTCGACTCCAAAATAAGCGTGAACGGCAGAATCAGCGCCGGTCTCAGGCAATAGTTCCATCAGTTCTAACAACATGCACGATGAGCTGAGCAACAAATCATAGCGTAGGGCCCTGAGCTTCCAAGCTCTCTCGTTTGGTATTAGTTAGTTTGTTTGTTTGTGTCACGCCTGGTGCTATCCCGTGTCTGTCCCGTACCGTACCGTACCATCAAAGACAGCTGGCCGCAAACAGCTGGCCACAATATTCAAATAGGGCTTTCAAATGCAAGATCATAACGTGACGCAACTTGGAAGAATGAGTATGAATGCGAAGTGTATTGGGGAATGCATGTAGGGCGATAGCGCGGGTTCGAATCCCAGGTTATGCCTAAAAAAATAGGAGAATTGAAAAATTTATAACATCCCTATGCTGTTTTTGCCTACGTCATCAAGGTGGTAGATGGTGTTGTAACTGTTATCACCATTGACCGTATCTTCCCCGTACCATACCGTACCGTACCGTACCATCAAAGACGGCTGGCCACAAACAGCTGGCCACGATATTCAAATAGGGCTTTCAAATGCAAGATCATAACGTGAAGCAACTTGGAAGAATTAGTATGTATGCGAAGTGTATCGGGGAATGCATGCAGTGCGATAGTGCGGGTTTGAATCCCAGGTTATGTCTTTAAAAAAATAGGAGAAATGAAAAATTTATAACATCCCTATGCTTTTTTTGCCTCGGTCATCAAGGCAAAAAAGCATAGCGTAGGGCCCTGAGCTTCCAAGCTCTCTCGTAACTAAACCGGGTGGAATACCAAGAAATCATAACAAACAAAACAAACTAATAATAAAAGGTAAATGAAGCCCAATATCATCAGCATATCCGAACCAAGGAACATGACCCATGCCACAATCAAGAGTTCCTCCGTAGAAGTCGGTAGCCATCAGCCAGTGTTGGTGCGTCAGGTACTTATGGACATCTTCTTTTAACGTGTGGAGCCGCTTCAAGCTGAGTGGAGCCCTTACAATTTCGCTTTGCAAGTAATGATCCCATTTATCCCAAATCCTCACTCAGTGCCTGTCTTCATACTGGCATTACAATATGCTTGGAATACGGCTCCATACTAAACATCTCTATTGTCATCCGTACTCTCCTCGGGCTATTTCCGACTCTTGATTCCTTCATGCCTTTTACGTTGTGTTACTGTTTCAGATAGTTGCCGTGGTTGGCTATCACCCTTCATTTCACATTCATTTTGTCATTGGCAGTCTTTTGACGAGCTAGAAAATGTTGAATAAATACAAATCAAAAATCTCAAATGATCCTGCAACGGTGTGATGTCTATACCGTGATGGCATCTGTGTGATGTCTATACCATGATGGCATCTTCCTAGGTAAAACCATGTATATGTGATTACATGCTCACTTGATCTGTAATTCATGCAGAGGCAAGCAGAGTTGGTGCACAAGAACCGATGCTACCAGCGTGTAGATGCAGCACTGGTCTTCGTGGCCGCAGCGCCGGGTGAAGACGGAGCAGACGCAGGGTGGCGAGACGGGCCGCTTTGCCGAGGATTCGGTTTGGCCACTGATGCGTGGGAGAACAGCTCCGGTGACGAGGTACACAATGTCAACTGGACCTCAGAACCATACTCACTGTGTTCACTACCAGCCGAGACTGACCTGCTGGCGGTGGCTAAGACCGACCACAAGTTAAGAGACTTCATTCTGATGAGCTCGGCATGGCTGCTCTTCTCCAGCAGCAGTGCAGAGTGCTACAAGCAGATCAACAACACCTGGTTCTACCTGCGACCTTCGTGCACTGTGGCCGAGTTCCATGCCTCCATGACATTGAAAAGGTACGGTTTAGAAGTTCAACTCTTGAAAGGCATCAGATGTGACAGTGCAAAGCATGACTTAGACAGTCCCATTAAAACATGGGTACCCCAGCTTTTAAGTGCCAAGCTTTAATAGTATCCTAAAACTGAAGCGCCCTATGTGCCGAAATGGAAGGGAAAAATGAGTTTTCCCGTTTCCATACACACAGGACCCTGGTACCGGAGCACAAGGTGCATGGTAGCAGTGTGTCCACAAACAATAATCATAGAGATATTTTATTGAAGTAGCTGGATTGGTTCTTGTCCATGTGGTGCAGCATATTTATAGACTCTGGGCCGGGCACATTAAACAGTTGCACTGTTCCAGTAATTATTGCTACATGTACAGGCTATGTACAATTTTTTTAAATGGTGTCAAATACGGTCTGTTGGTATCCCATAATGATCAGGTTGCTGCTCAAGAGTCAGAGACACTCAAGTGCTGCCCGTCTAGCTGACAAAATCAAAGCGAATCCTAAGGAGATCTCCAACGTTGTGATCGCCGGTCCCCTGCTCCTCTCGCCCTGGGCACACTACAGCGGCATCACGTGGAATGATGAAGCAATGAACAACACCGACCCTACATACGTGTCCGACCTGACCTTGTACCCAGCTCCTGGAGAACACCTGGCCATTGACATCGGAACGTATGATGACTTGCTCACTCCGACCAAGTCTCGACTTAAAGTGCAAGTATGCTCCTTTACACACAATTACCGTGCTGAAATCGGATTATCCATAGTGTTGGACCCTGTCCCCACTATTTATTATGAGCCATATGCTATAGGCCTTGCTGGGTTTGGGTGGCCATTTGCAGTGTAATAATTACCTGTGAACTGTCTCGCTAAATCGTTTATGGAGTTTTCGTTTTCATGAACATTTTTACAACCTTACCCAAGGGCGTGTGCGGTCAATTTTAAGCTCAATTTACTTTTTTTAAATAAGCCGCAAGGCAACAATAGTTGTAGAATTGCGATAAACAGAACGAGCTGAACAGTCATTTCACAAAGGCTTTACTGTGTTCAAAACGAGTGAAGAGCAGTTCGAAGAATTATTTTTTCATCATTTCTTCCCTATCACATTTGTTTCTCCTTCTCTGTTCTTCACCGCCATCATAGCCACTCGTTTTGAACACAATAAAGCCGTTGTGAAATGACTGTTCAGCTCGTTCTGTTTATCGCTTTACTTCCTGCATCGAAAATGTCTTTCTTGTCGCCCCGAGACCTTTCCCTCTTTTTCACTGTGACTTTCTTTTCTTCTTCATTCCGCAGGTATTCTCCGAGGACAAGGACAAGGACAGTGCCACCTTATTGAGATATGGATCAAAGGGCAGTAACCTATATGAAATACTTCATGAGCTCTACTTCATCTCCGGCACGTCCTTGCTAGGAATTGCAATCGGGGGAAGCGAAGGCGCGACCGGCTCACTCAGATTCACCATGGTCGACAAGCCGAACAAGAAGAAGTGGACCGATGGCCCGTTTCACCTGTCTGTGCCCTTCAAACTCCGGCCATGTCACAAAGGATTCACAGGACCTGTCACAAAGGTGAGTTCCTAATCTGTTTTAGAGATTTAGACTCTCTCTCCCCCCCCCAGACAATTTTTGATTTTTGGAATTTTTTTCTCTTGGTGAAAATGCTAGAGATGATGATTTGAGCGCATGAGAAGATGAAATGTTTCATTTTTGGAAAGAAATTGTTTTCAGCATAGGGAGTTAAGAGTTCACCATAGGGAGTTGGGAGTTCACCATAGGGAGTCGGGGTTGTTCCAACTGGTGGATCAGCTTATTGAAACCACATCTTACCGACAAGAGCGAGCAATGGCCTCTCTTGAATTGTGCTCGTCTGGATAGAGCCGCCAGCGAACACTTCAGCCCTCTCTAAAACATAGCTCCCGGGGTGCTATATTATGATGTGTAGTTGTGGCTGACATTCTGTTGTCGTGCAGTTTTACAGGTACCGGTGAAATTGCAGGACACCAGAATGGCAGCCAAGGGGCTGTGTGCAGTGAATGGGTATTGTCTATAGCAGTAAATCACGCTTGTTCAGCTCGGCTTGGTTGAGCGCTCCTTCTGTCACGTGCCTTCCTGCAGAGGCTCGCAGTTTCTCGGGGTAAGGGCGTTCTGCCTTAGATGTTTTGAACCAGTTTGGAAATGCTTTCATATTCACCGGACCGGATTATGATCGGTACGTCCGGTTACTCAGAGCTGCAGCTCCTCAGACCCGAAAAGGGCAAACCAGTTTGTGCTCCGGAAGTTTATAAATACAGTGAAGCTTGTCTAAGACGACCGCTCAAGGGACCTGCAAAATGTGGTCTCTGCTGCCAGGTGGTCTCCGTATCCAGGGTCAATTGACTGGAAATAGCATCCCTTGGTCCTGGTTCCAGTGGTCTTCTAGGACAGGTGGTCGCCTTATCAGAGTGGTCGCCTTTACAGGTTTTCCTGTACTCACATTTATTTATTGCAGCATCTCATAGCACAGTGAGAACACCGGCCAATACAAAGAGAGAGGGTGTTAGCCAACCACGGCAAGGAAGGGAGAAGGGGAGGAGAAGAAAAAAAAGAACCGGCATGGATAAGTAGTGATTGCAACAAAATGAGAAACACAAAATCAAAGTCAAGGCGCGACAAGGCTCTTAAAAAGGCGGAGGGAAGAAAGGTCCTTAGCTTCTTGGGGAAGTGCCAGCCACGCAGAGTACGCAGTGAAAAGGGGAGAGTGAAGTAGAAAGGAGGACTTGGGTTTCGGAAGGGAAAGGGAGTTTCTCGTGCTACGGGAAGAAAACCAGTTGAAACAGTGGAGGTGAGGTGGACACAGATTGAGTTTGAGAGAATGGATAAGGGTGACAAGATGTGAATTACGTCTCTTAGACAAAGGGGTAGTGTGAGCAAGGGCATAAAGGGTGGAAGATGGGAGCATGCGGGGTTTCCGGAGGAGGATTTTTAGAACTTTTTTGTGCTGAATTTCGAGCTTTTCAGCACGGGTTGTGGAAATTCCAGCCCAAGCAGTATCTGCATAATCAAAAATGGGGCGTATGTAAGCTGAGTAAAAGAGGAGTTTACAAGAGATTGGGAGATGGTAACAGTGAGAAGAGAGGATTCCTAAAGATGAACTTGATCGTTTACATATGTAATCGATGTGGGGTTCCCATGAAAGATTAGAGTCAATGAAAATGCCAAGATGCTTATGGCTGGAGACTATGTCTATAGGCTGGGGGAAAGTGGGATGGAGGAGGGGCGGAACATCAGGCTGAGATGGAAAGAGCATGATTTTAGTTTTAGACAGATTGGGCGATAACCGCCAAGACGACATCCAGGAAATTACTCTTTGAATCCCGTTAGCTAGGTTACTCATCAGGCCAGTGATGTTAGGAGATGCCCGTAGGAGCGTTGTGTCGTCTGCGAATAGTGATGTGCCCGGGGCAGCTGCGGGCAGATCATTGACGTATAAGATAAAAGAAGGGGGCCGAGGATGGAACCCTGGGGAACTCCGGATAGTACTGTTGTGTCGGCTGAGGACGTCCCATGTACCGTGACGTACTGCGTTCGCCCAGTTAGGTAAGATGTCAGCCATAGCAGGGGATTGCCGTCTACAGTAAATGATCCACGATGCTTGGCCAAGAGCCCCCGGTGCCAGACGGTATCGAAGGCCTTGGCAAGATCGAAAAAACAGATCCCGACTAGGTCTCCAGCATCCCGATGTCGACACACTAATTGCACCAGGCGCGTCAGCTGGAGGGTGGTAGAATCGCCTCTGCGAAATCCGGACTGAGCTGAACTCAAACGTGACGAGACATGACAGTACAATTACTCACATACAAGTACTTCCTCCGGAAACAAAAACTTCGTTACTTTTTTTCACTACTTTTCGCTGCTATTATTTCGCTCTCTCTCTCTCTCTCTCTCTCTCTCTCTCTCTCTCTCTCTCTCTCTCTCTCTCTCTCTCTCTCTCTCTCTCTCTCTCTCTGGTTCTGTCAGCCAGAAACACTGACACGACAGTTCGGAATCGTAGGAAGGCATGATTCATATTTTGGAAAGCCGACAGTCGTCGCAGAGCAAGAGTGTCGACGCTACCAACAAAGCAAAGCGAACATGTTTTTCATTGTTCGTCCATCAGGCGCAATGGGGAGAAAATCACTGCGCGCACTGCTCATCGTAGCTATTTTTTAGTTCAGAATTTGGCAGAGCAGCACAATGGCACCGAGGAGCAAGAAAAGTGGAAAATCAATCGCAATAGCAGCTAGCGTTTTGAAATCTTCGCCATCCCCGAAACGCCTGTCTGCATGCGAACAGGTCGGCACGATGTTAAAACTCCAACATGCAGAGATGTGACAATCGTCACTTCGCGCAGCAGAGGAAGATGAAAAAGTTCAAAATAAAAGTCGTTCAGTCCCTGTAGAGCCCAGACCTCAACGTGGATGATCTCGCCTTTTCCAGCAGCCTCACCGATGTGTCCTTGGCAAAGGAGAATGCGAGATCTGATCGCGGCAGTCGGGAAGTGCTGGTACGACTATGATATCCCTTGGAGGAAATTTGAAATGTTTGGCGTTGCCTGTGTTTGTTGTTCCGGGGCATTCTCGGGCGAGAGGGGAGGCGGAAATAAGTACCAGCTCTGCAGCGCTACTATGATCTCCGCCGAGATGTTGAAGAAGACACTCAGGTAACAGCGAAGATGATCAGGGACGCGAAGAAGCTTCTCCGTGACAAACGACATCGCGCCGATCGACCTGCCACTTGGAACGGTTTCAGCGGTGATGAGTCAAGCGATGGCGACCCAGACTGAGACGCTACTCTCACTAATTGATCCTGTAGATATTGTAAATATGTCGATTGACTGTGTTGAAGTGTTTCTCTTCCAAAAGAACACTTTTGTTGGGCACAGTAACTCCTTGAAAAGTCATATCAAAAAGTCACGAAGTTTTTGTTTCCGGAGGAAGTAGATAGCAGTGGTGGATATTATATTTCCTGTTTTTTCTTCATTTCCTGTCCTGTGTGCAGGGTGCTGGAATTGTGGTATGTGAGTGCTCGTCTGAAAACCCGGCTATAAAGAGGTGTCCAAAGGGTCGCTTCGTAATCTACAACCGTGGCTACTGGGCAGGGAACACTACCAGCATGAAACGTGCTCCGCAGGTCCGAGACGAACTGTTTCACAAGGTGCACCCGGGCGTTATCCAGGCGGTGACCGATCCCTCTACTGACAATGCATCAACGTTCAGCTCTTCTTGGGCATTCAGGGCCTTTGTGGATTACCAATACTCGGAGGTGCAATGCACCAATGGACTATGCCAGCAGCATGGCACGTGGGTGTTTGGCAACAGCAGTGCATGCATCCACAACGGAGCAGGTATCCTATGTGGACAATGTGCACCAGGAACTAAGCTCAAGCTTGCCACGGCGGTGCGTCCTTTTTGCCTTCTCCCTAAATTTTCTATCTAACGAATACCATCTACTAGGCTGTGTTGTTACTACATGGTATATTTTAACGTGTTTGTAATAGTTTTCATGCTGCATAATCAACTGCTTTTAAATCCCGAAAGGAGCACCCATCAGAAGAAAGTAGATTGGTTTTACTAGCTGAGGCACTCGGGCTCTGTATCTACACCTTTTGATGATATTATAAGTCAGTGTTGTACTAGTGTAGGCTGTGTAAACCAAGGACCTATTCTCCCAAGTAGCTCTCTCTCTCTCTCTCTTTCTCTTTCTCTCACCGTGGCGAACTAATCAGTGAGATACAAACCGGTAGACCACGAACATCTTATATGAACATCGCTGATACAGCAACAGGCGTACGCTTTGCAGCGTTCGGTTTAAAACTAAGGGCATGTTCGATTGTACGAATCCATCAGCCCCAGACCCGGATTCGCCAAATTCGTACATGTTCGATTGTTCGAATCCGGATCCGGAGAGTACGGATTCGGATCCAGTCAACCCACCTCCCAGAGACGGATTCGATGGATTCATTTCCATGGTACGACTCGTATCTACTCAAAACTCCCAATATGCGCACACTAGGTCAAGAGTTTGCCACAATGCGTACGATACTACGGGATGAGCTGTAGCAACGCGGTTGCTAAGGCCTTGAAATGGATTATCGGTTGTGCACATTCGATTGTGTCCGTCCGATCGAAGTGATCTGGTCGGCGGGGATCGGGATCCAGTTTCTACAATCGAATGCAGCCCTATTTTGTACACTTGATCATCTCCTCTCCTATTTGGATGGTGTTCAAAGTTGTGAAGTATGTTGGATAGATGAGGATTCCATTCTAGATCTACTCGAATGCATTGCCATGATTGTATGATTGTGTGTTCTGTATGTTCTCTCAGAGATGCACGGACTGTTCACAGGCAAAGGCAGTCATCCCCCTGGGTGTCTACATATCCGTGATCATTGTCATGACGATTCTCAGCGCTTGCCTCATGTTCTATTTCAACGTCGGCCTGTCACCAGTCCTGGATAGCTGGTTGTTCTTTGTTCAGGTTAGGGTCCTGGGGTGTTGGAACCAGTACGGCAGGTGTGGCCAAAGCCCCACCAACAACTTTACCTAGAGAACTTAGAAGCAATAAAATGTTGGCTATTTGGACCCAATTGTCCATTGTTTCCCCGGAGGAGGGCCCCCAATCCCCCCCCCCCCCCTCCCCACACACCTCTTAATAGCCCCTTCATAGCCGTACCAATGCTGAGTACATTCTGCCCCTGGAGACCATTGGATATCAAGCAATGCTGCACAAGGGGTAGATAGACAGGAAAGGGACATGACAGAGCCAATCAGAACAAGGAGCTCGAGAATAGAACGGTGACGTACAGAGATCGGGTCACGGGAAGAGACAGGCCCCTGGTCGCAAAACAAGTTGAGTAGAAGAACAGATCAAACTGGGTTGTACTGTATAGCAGGAAATTTTCAGACGGAATTTATTTTCGTACGATTTCGTACACGGCCTCTTTTGTACTAAAATTAATTCCGTACTAAAATTTGTTCATGTGAAATTATGTACACTATACATGCATACTGCTTGCGAACACGTATACTTAGCATGCAGCGCTGTACGAAAATATAATCCGCACGAAAGGTCGAAATTCGGCTTTGTCCGAAAATATTTCCGTCCGAACATTTCCTGCTATACGTGTGAATTGCTTCCACAAACGTCAGGAATCACACTCCCTGGTCACTCTGTTTCTGGCTGCATGATTGTACTGCACTTGCAGAAAACACTCCTGAACTGAATGCAATTTCCTACGTCCCGATTCTTGTCGTAGAAAGTTTTAAGTTTAGGATTTTCTTGCAGTTATAGCTTTCTTTTTGTTTTGTTTCCAAGGAAGCAGTTCAATTGTGAATCTTTTCTTTGAGACTTTTGGAAAAGTAATTAGCTACATGTGTACTCTGTTGTTGCTGTCACCTCACAGACATCATGGTATATCTTCCCAAAAGACAACAAATTCGTCTACAGCAGCGTGTACACGGTCTTGACATTCGGGCTCGGTCACCTCTGCATGACGAAAGGACTAAATCGACTCCAAGTCAGCACTCTTCTGCTTATTAAACCAATCACACTTCTTCTCATCTTCCTGGCTATGCGCGTAGCACGATCGTACAACTACCTTGGAACTCGATTAGCAAGACTTCAGAGCCACATGAAACTAGTGCGGGTCATGTGGTTCGTTCTTGTCTACAGCTACTTTATGCTCACCTTCACCTCGATCAGTGTCTTTGACTGCGTCCGCGTGGGTGATAATAAAACTAGGCAGGTTTTAGCCATGGATGGGTCCATTGACTGCTTCCAGCACCCGCACCTGGTCTATGCAATCGCTGCCAGTGTGATACTGGTGTTCGTAATTTTACCACCTCCTGTCATATTACTACTCCGGCCGTTTCACGGACACCCGCACCTGAAGGGTTTCGTCGACGAAGCATGCTCCATGTACCGGGACAGTTGCAGATGGTGGTCGGCGGTGAACCTGCTGCGACGAGTGGTCATGGCGCTGCTGGGCTCGGCTTGGCTGTGGGATGAGGTATCACGTCTGGTGATAACAGTGGGAGCTCTGCTGCTATTGCTGATTATGCATATGCATTTTAGGTAAGCAGCAGCCAGTATTGTGTGAACATGCATTCGTAATACACAGAGCCAATTGTGCTGCCAACATCACTCTTTTAAAGAAGTCTTGAATGTTGAACTGGTTTGCTTCGGCTGTTGAACTTTGCCAGCGCTTTTCAGCTTAGAGAGCATTGTGTGTGCATGCTCATAATTACAGGCATTTTTAAAAAATTTTCCTTTTCCACCTTTACAAAAACTACTGCTATCACTTTATGGAGGGAACATGATCAGGATGAAAAAGTATGGCAGTACAAAATAGTAAAATAACCGATAATACCATGCCAGTCGGCTATTAACCACCCACAAAAAGATGCTGTCTATTATTACATGCAGCATGCTACTACTACAAACAGATCAAAATAGCAGCGGCGACTTCCGCGATAATCATAAGAAAGTTGGTTGCTCCCAACTCTGGAGCTTGCACTTTTCCCGCCGACCTGCCTCCTCGTTTGCCCTGGATGGCAGTCGTGAGCCAGTCGGGTGTGATTCAAGTCGGAGGGAAAAGTGCGAGATCAAATGTTGGGAGCAAACAACTTACTTTCTTAGTGTGAAAAATGTAAATGAAGAATATGAATGTGTTATTCCCCACTACTTCATTATAATATCTTCGTAAGTAGAAAGATGTTGCGACATCGGCGGTGATTAGTGAAGAAAGTGTCTGCTTCAAACACCGGTGCTCGCGCTTCCTGCAGACTTCGCTAGCAGGTATGCTGGGAAAATGACCGAAGGGAGGTGCTGAGAAGCATGTTGTATCGGGTTCCAGTCCGGAAGAGGATCTACTTGTTTGTCTCGTTTTAGGAGCTGCCGATCTCAGCCATACTCCTTGTGCTTGTGGGTGAGACTCTGAGAACAATGTTCAGTCAATCAGACAGATCACGGCTGTTGTGAAACATATATTTACATGGGTTCACTCACTTAACGTTTTAATTAATTTAATTTAAAAAACGCCACACAACCGCAGAATAAAGCGTTTCTTTTCAATTGACAACCACCGTATCCATGACGTGCTACTCTGCCAAAGCGCTGGTTCCCTTGGAATACCACAGGTACCATCCTAAAAATTCTCGATTTAAGGCTCAGTACTAGAAGCATGGTTTCTCACTGTTGTTGGTTTGCAGGCCGTTGCGACAAGGCAAGTTTCTCTTCATCACGTACAACAACTGGGAGTCGTTTCTTCTCTTCCTGGTCTTGAGCATCTCCGTGAACCAGACCATCATGTACACAACCACACAACACAAGCAGACATTGGCCACCGTTGCCATGACGTTCTACCTGGCGCCGACGTGCATCATCTTACTAGGCGGCCTGTACAAGCAGTGCTTCTCCACTGCGGGCGGAAACGGACGAGTCGCTCATCTCTCGCTGCGACACCTCTGGCAGCAGTGCATGCACCACGGTCGTGAGAGAGCGGCAACAGAGCTCGACGAGAGTGCATTGGCAAATCTACTTCGCGGAGCTAGAGACCCGCTGCTGGTAGATCAGATCAGAGATCAACAAGAAGGAAAGTTCTGACAAACACCTACTGTAAAAGCCATTATTCTAACGAGACGCATATATCGATTTCCCAAAATTGACTAGTTTACACGTACCAAAGGTAATGATTGTCACTTATTCTCAAAGCTCAATAGGACAGTATATGGATCGATTTCTGTCTAACGATTTCTATTTTAACGACAGATTTCTCCTTGTTAACTCGTTAGAGTTAGCACTTCGTTATATATATATATATATGGCTTTTACAGTACCTGCCGGTCTGCTTGCAGTGTATGCGTCCCTATTGTAATGGCAGCTTGTTTTGCTATAAGTGAGGAATCTTTTTTTTGTTGCCTGGCAGGTCAGTTTTTTTTGTTTTTTGTAGATTGGAGCATGCACAGTAGTTACACAATGTGTTTTCTGCACTCACTCACTATCTTCCTGTACATAAATATACATGACGAAAGTTGCTGCTTCCAACGTAGGAGCTCGCGCTGCCGACTGATGTGATTTTACTATTACCACGGGTGTGGCAACGTTTTAGCGTGGCAACGTTTTAGTTCGTTTTTTAAATATACAAGTACCTCCTAAAATGCCACGGTGTCACCTAAATATGTCTCCCCAGCCTCCTGCCCACACCATTCACGTTCACACACCTTGCTCATAACACCCTGCCCACACCAGCCATATACATGTACACTGCGCTAATAATAACACTGCTAGGTCTTTAACCTCCTGCCTAGTACAACATCCACACACATTGCTCACCACCTCCTGCCCACACCAGCCACACATTCTGCGCTAACATTGCACTGCTAGCCGCTCCCTTCAACAACCACACACTCTGCACACAGCCTCCTGCCTAAGACAACACCGCTAGCCCGCACATTCTCACAGCTTTTCATACCACCTTCTCCTGGCATATATACTGGCATGGTCGGCACCCAATCTTTGTTGCCTGATGATTGCGAGAGCATGAAACTTCAAGTCGCAGCAAACAAGCCTTGATTGTCCTTGTTGTTCTTTTCTGTAATATACATGATTCAAACGATTGACTACTGTAGATACACTTTGTCAATTTTACAGAGTGATCACAGCCTACATGCATGGCTGACTAGTATAGCTGCTGCTTGATGCTTGCCTGCGCTTGATCTCAAGATTTGGCAGTGTGTGCGCTTGCTGGCCTATGCTGTGTGTGTGTGTGTGTGTGTGTGTGTGTGTGTGTGTGTGTGTGTGTGTGTGTGTGTGTGTGTGTGTGTGTGTGTGTGCGTGTGCGTGTGCGTGTGGGTGTGTGTGTGTGTGTGTGTGTGTGTGTGTGTGTGTGTGTGTGTGTATGTGTGTGTGTGTGTGTGTGTGTGTGTGTGTGTGTGTGTGTGTGTGTGTGTGTGTGTGTGCTTGGCTGGCCTATGCTATGTGTACGCTTGGCTGGCCTATGCTGTGTGTGTACGCTTGGCTGGCCTGTGCTGTGTGTGTACGCTTGGCTGGCCTATGCTGTGTGTGCACGCAAATCACCTTGCGCGTGGTGTGTACATATGCAGTCCAACATGATCCCTTTCGTGCCTGGTCCGGTATTACTCCTTATGGCCCAGGATTTACCGCATACATGAACACAGAGCCACAGTCAACATTCTCCCTGCTCTGTGATTGTAGAGTAACAGAGCCACAGTCAACATTCTCCCTGCTCTGTGATTGTAGAGTAACAGAGCCACAGTCAACATTCTCCCTGCTCTGTGATTGTAGAGTAACAGAGCCACAGTCAACATTCTCCCTGCTCTGTGATTTTTAGAGCAATGTAAAGAAAGCTCTGATATAGTTTGGCAAAATCTTGGTTTGTTCGAGGCATGTACACGTATTCATTAACATTACAATCATTATTGCAAAACATCTTCAATCTCAATATTATACACCAAGTTTGGTACCTACTTCGAAGCATTAATGAGGAGATGATCCTAATAGGTTCTCACTGAACAATTTTGATATCACGGCAGACTTCGTCAGAGTGAATTCTGAATAAACCGTGTGAACATCTCAAGAGCAGGTGCTGGTTTCAACATGGGCACCATGTGTCCCGCACCCCTGACCGTCATGAATGTGAAGTCCTTCGTGTACCCGGTCATGTAGCCACCAACCTAGGGTTGAACAGGTGGGAGAGAAACACGACCCAACACAACCAGTGAGCACGCTCCTCTGTTTCTCTCAAGTAAAGCCTACATGCTAGGACGTACACCCTCGCTATGTAGGTTTTACCGCATACTGCAAGTCGACAAATTATTTTCGGCCCATTCAAATCTCGGCCTCCCAGGGCTAAAACACATTTCGGCTGCAACAAATTTCCGGCCTGTACTGCTGCTGCCTGTATACACTGTCACACTGAACCTTGCAAAACAAAATTTTGGCTGCAACAAATTTTCGGCCAAAATTTAATATGATCAGGCCGAAAACAGCCGAAAATAAATATGCGCTGAATATGTGCCGACTTACAGTAGAGTGACATTAATCACCCCCCCCCCCCCCCTCCCCCTCGTTAGGGGTGACACCAAGAGTACATAAACAAGAGTGTGCAACTCGGCCTGGCTTGGCCAGCGGTGAAATGTTTTGTTAGCATCACCTTTTCCGGAGATCATATCGAACGAGGCATGATATGCAAGCCTGGTGTCTGCTTGACCCTGGCTGAGTTCCACTAATCATGATATGCAAGCCTAGTGTCTGCTTGACCATGGCAGAGTTCCACTAATCTTGCACTACCAGTACCGTTCAAAGGTACAGGAGAGGGAGAAATGTTTTTAATGATAGCTTGCATAGACCTTGGTCCTACCAGTAGGACCATCATACACAGATATTCTGCATGGCCTCTGTTCTAACATTGACCTAAAACTTGACCCTAAACTGTGGCTCAGGGGCTAATGAAGGAGTCCACAAATTTTAGACGTGATCTCACAAGGCATACTACGAAATTCCATGGTAACAGCCCATGGTAACCATGGAAATGGTGTATGGAATTATGCATTCCACTGCCTTGGCAGACTAATAAAAATATTAGTACCTCACCACGATTGATGTGCCATGGTCAAAATTCACTTTGGACAGAGTTGCTAGCACTCCGACAGGAGTATGTGCGGCCATTTTGACAATTGATAAAATTGCGCGTATGCAATGCACTGGACATAGCCTTGCATTTTGCGCCATTACTTTGCTAGACCGCATCTCAACAATTGTTTCAAGAAATTTCTCAACCAAAAGCACTTTTGCAGCGCGATTCCTACCAGTAGGACAGCATGCAAGCTATCATTAAAACATTTCTTTGAAAGCGATGAAAGTCGACGTCCAGCACATGCTTCGCGCGCATTTCGTACAAGTACAACACGCATCATAGATTCTAAAAATGGAGACGTCAAGAAAGCATTCCGCCGCGGACCAGACCAGCTTCGGAGTTGCACACTTCTACTGATGTACACTTGATGATGCCCATGCTATAGATATCATAATTATGTAAACATGCATTAGCTACCGTATTTTCCGCAGTCTAAGCCGCACTTTAAATACCAGTCATTCACCCAAAATAGATTAGTTGGTGCGGCTTCAACTACAATGGTCAAATTAACGGTGATAAACAGGGTACGAGATGTCAGTATTTCATGACAAAAAAACTGGGCCGGCTTATACTCCAATGCGGCTTATATTCCGGAAAATACGGTATCCTTCTTTATCCCTCAGCTGCCAGTATTCCAACATCCGTTCAAGAGCCCATACCTAAAACAAACAGCTACACAAACAATCATTAGTACGAACAGTCCCATTACGAGTACACATGTGACTGACCTGCCCTAGTTCGGTCAGCCATGGCTGCCATGGATACGACACGACCAAGCCCATCTGCGCAGCAAAGCTCTCCGTCCACTCCTTGTTATCCGTAAAGGGAACGCTGGCGTCGGCGTCACCGTTGTAGATCAAGATGCGATAGTCGCCGAGCATGTTCACGTAATCCGGCAGAACCGACGTGACCGTCTCGCCGTACAATGCATGCAGGTCGGCCGAGCAGCCACTCCAGGCCGCCAGTGGTGTTGAGTGTTCTACGTGCAGTGCTTGCTGCACATCGTCCCGTCTGAGATACCGCTGAACTAGCGGTGCTACTGGGCAGTCGGGGAGATCATGCACGCCATGTGATGTGCCCTTGCGCAGTAAATACCAAAGAGACACGGCTGTCCCGGCACCACCATCGGCGGCGCTTGCGGACATGTTCACCTTACACGAACCGAGCACGTTCAAGGTATCAACGTTGCCGATGTGCGAATACAGGGTGTTGACTGCGCTCACGCAAGCATCGGTGTCTGGCGTTCTCATGCCGGCACATGCACTCTGCACGCCGGCATAGTCCGCATCGCCGACCAGCGCATGATGGAACAGGTACGGTATGGCGTAGACCAGGTAGTACGCCGCCGAGCACGCTCCGATTGCGTTCCCGATGCAGCCGTTTCCGACGAGAATCCCCCGCAGGTTTATCCGGGCCTGGTCGTGCGGTCGGCTGTGTTCTGCGTTTCGTTCTTGAACGCGGGTGGCCAGCATCGGGATATACACACCGGCGTACGACTCACCTGCAAAAGAAGAAAAAAGAAAAAAAGAAAGAAGAACAAGGCACTGGGCACCGCATGAAAAATACATACTTTACCAATCCTGCTGCCAAATCCCGAGGCACAACAAGTTGGCAAGACTAAACTAAAACAAAAACCCATTGCCATGTGAGGCTCTGGACCACCAGAAAGATGGCACATGTACAACAAGCAAGTTGATCATCATCCCTGCCAGTAATGATCTTCACGTGCAGCTGTCTATTTTTTATCGGACGCCATACATACTTCAGAGTTTGTGATCGTCATAGTCTCCTAGAGTGCATGCCACAGCTAGTTGTGCGGAGATTGACCAGTCTCGTACTTATACACACATGACAGAAGGCAAAAGCAGAGTATTACACTGTATCGAGGAATACTAGTCATTGGGAGACAGAATGTGCCGAAGAACGCAGTGAAAGATAGAAAAAAAAAGAAAAAATACACGGTTCACTTTTCCGCATCCACAGGAACGCCACCACCCTCTCGGATCAAGGCACAGATGCAGCTCCTAAGCGGTGGGAGGTGAGTAGATCAGACCCACCACAAAGTGGTCAAAGACCGATAATCCCATTCACTGCGTCCATGTTTCCCTCGTGTCAGGCCACAAGATCCCAATGATAGATAGAGGTATACGAGTATTCCCGGCTGGATATGTGCAGCTTACATTCTCCCAAGCACAAACACAAGCCCACTGTGATCACTAACCGGCAATATAGAAGTCCAAGTTGGCGTACTCGGGAAACTCTTTGAACCAGTTGACGAGGAACTGCAGGTTCATATCGGCCACATGACTGTCATTGGTCTTGTAGTGTTTGCTGGGTGAATAGCTGAAACCAACACCGACGGGAGATTCCCAGTACAGCATGTGTGCACACTTGCTCCACCGGTGAGCGTTCAGCTCCAGCCGCAGTGAGCTGTCATTGTTATGTTCGGTGGCCACCTGGAACGTCCCCACCTCCGTGAAAAACCTGTCAACAAGCCATGGTATACAGTAAACAAATACATCACCATGTCCATAACTATGAGACGTGGGACATGAAGAGGAGGGGAACCCGCAGACAAGAGGGGAGCACACGAGGGAGGGGAGCCCGCGGAGTAGATGCGAGCACCGGGGAGGGAGGGAACCCAAGGAAGGAAGGGCAGCCCAGGGGGAGGGGGGGGGGGACTGGCTGTACCAAGAGAGTGTGTGCTCAATGCCCTATCTATGTTGACACTTGACCTGCAAATCTTACTTGGCCGCTGTCGCGTTATCCCTCCATAACATGTGCCCATAGTCAACGGGCCACACATCATGGGCGTAGGAACCGGTCCGGCAGGCCCGGCGGTCGCCGGACCAATAATTTTCGAATTTTTTTAAACATTTCAACCTTGTTGATGGCTTGTCGACTCTTCTACAGGAACCATGTTTTACATCGACAATGCGGTGTATCATCAGCATGCATATTCTTATTTCTTATATTATGCTGTAGCATGAAAATATGGCCTTTTACTGGTTTTAGGCCCAATTTTCAAAAACAATCCCGGGGGAGGACCCCCGGACTCCCCTTTCACAATTTTGCCGCACCAATATTAAACTGCTTCCTACGCCCCAGCACATACATGTACGTGTATGCAGTGATGGGCCCTTGCCGTAGCTTGGCGATACATCTGTACACCACAACCCAGGCACAAAGCACTCCCCGTACACTCGGTCTGGCCCAAGAAAGACGGCTACACTTTCTGCGCAGTCACCCAGTTTCGGTGGAAGTACGCGAGTTCGATTGGGATTCAAGTAGGAAGGGAGCGTCTCAGCTTTCTCGGACCACGACCATTCGACTCAGCGCCCCGAAGACTACAACTGGTGAAATTTTAATTTTTGCCTTAACTTCCCCTTTAGAGCCAAGGTTGGTATTCAGTGATCACCCGACCGACCGACCAAAAAACGTATTACATAATTGTGCCCAATCTTACCCCATCAGAGAACTGCATCCAGGACCGCCCTGCACCCACAGTACCAGTGGCACTTGGTCCTGCTGCTGGCTTAGGCAGTTGTTCTCGCTTTCCACGAACACGTAATGCATACGACCAGAGTCTATATCCACGTATCCACTGTAGTGCTTGGAAGGCAGCGGGCCCGACCAGCCAGGCAGTGATTGCACAACGGCATCGCTGTGGGGGTCTGAACTACTATCAGCGACTGTCTCGGACTGTTGTGCAGCTAGGCAAATAAGTAGGAGAGAAACTGGTACGATTCTCGACATTTTCCTCACATGTCAATGCAACATCGTCATACCCGGCTTAGGATGGGCAGAATCGACACACGGGCCGGAACAACACTTCTGTCTAGAGACGAGAAGATTGTAGAGCCACCGAATGGTGCTACAATAACATGGGCTGCTAAAAGTTGTTGGATGCGTTTTGCTACAGCTACACCTGATGTCCATCATGACAGTGACAGATACCCAGGTGAAAAATGACGAGGCCGTAGCGAGGTACATGTAGAGCCAGAGGCAGAGGACGAAAATGAAACCGTGCAACTGCCGACCTGGTGCACACAGCATGTGCGCTACTGCCTGCTTCCCACTCGACCCGTGTCCCGAAGACCATTCATGGACAGAACCTTGGCGAAAAACAGTCAGTAGAAAGGACTCATCCTGTATCGGGACAACTCATAGCCGGATCCTCGGTGAAAATCATACGATCTCGGAAAATTCAAAACTGCACACGTGCCATGCACAAGCAAAACTACAATGAACTGCATGCACAGCATGCAAGACAACAATTTTGTCAACCTTCTCAGTGTATCATGGCTGCTTTTCTAGTGGCACTGCTAGTGTTCGTCTGCCTGTGCAATGGGGCAGTCCATGGCGACCACAGCGATGCCGTTGTGCAATCACTGCCTGGCTGGTCGGGCCCGCTGCCTTCCAAGCACTACAGTGGATACGTGGATATAGACTCTGGTCGTATGCATTACGTGTTCGTGGAAAGCGAGAACAACTGTCCAAGCCAGCAGGACCAAGTGCCCCTGGTACTGTGGGTGCAGGGCGGTCCAGGATGCAGTTCTCTGCTGGGGTACGTATTGTACCGCTGCATAGTTGTCTGTGGAAATTTACCTCTGCATTCAAAATTTGAAAATTGATCTTTTGAATTTCAAATAATTATTAATTGTCTACGAATTCAAATTGTCTTTAGTTTTGGAATCGCTGGTGGAGTCAAGTCCGTTGTAACTTGAAAAATACCGCAGAAACGCTAATTCGACTTTGAAAATAGAAATGAGCAGGGTGTGTATCTCGGTGAATTCTGTACAAGTGGGTGCTTTGGAAGTTGGCAAGAAACTTTGCGCATGCACTCCCCAATTATCATAACAATAATTATTACTTTGGTTTTTCAGTCTTATTCTGGTTAAAAAGTGGGCTGTCGCTGTGTGTCTAACCTTGGTTTACCCAAGCATAGAGCCAAGTGTACATTCTTGCCTGTGTGAATCATACTCTATCTGCGGACAGCATGCTGTTTCGTTCTTTGTGAACTCATCAGCGCAGCACAGAGTTAATGAGGGTGAACCTGATAGCAATGAAAAAAATTCCAAAGCCAGATTTACTATCTGTAAATCATAGCATCTAGGAAGGGAACTCCGGCGAGTGGACCATGACATGACGTGGATTCCCCAAACTTTGCATTCCAGTGCACTTGGATATGGGTGAGGCCGACTCATACACGCTCGCGTATGACGTCACTGATGCGCGCCGAGTTTGCGGTCTACGATCACTGGTCAGGATCGGAATCACGCATTGCATGCAGTATAGATCGCATAAATTGTTGTTGTTTTATTTTACTTCATGAGATTTACAGGCAAGGATGCCTTCTCACCGGCCAGGGGCCAGTTCTTAGAAATGATGAAAAAATTGCATGGATGGCTAATGATGAAGATTAACCTACAAGTAATATCTAGGGCATGACAGTTGTATTTTATGAATTGATAGAAAATATGCTGCGTTTTGTGAAAAATTATGAGAAATTATGAGTTTGTAGAATATAACATGCAGAATACGGGGTGTTGGAGAATAGATGAAACAGAAAGGTCAGTTGGTGACAGACAGTACATCAATATGGTCCCGTCTCAAATGTAACCTTAGATTCGCAGTGCCGTGCCCAGGCTTCGAATGTCAGCTGGATGCATATTACAGTAAATGCTGCCCATAAACTGTATCAGCGACCGCCCAGCAGGGCCCCGAATAAAAGGTAGTTGTTGAAGGTGCGTGACTTGGCCACGGGTGTTGCGACGAATAGCCTGATCTTGTTTGTTTAATTCAATGAAAAAATCGGAGAAAAGAATGCTTGTATTTGAGTGGAGGCATCTGTGAACAAAAACAATAATCTTTTCCTTATAAAGATGTACAAGAGAGGAAATATTAAGGCGGATAAAGAGAGGCGCAGTTGGGGTACGAGGTGGCAAGCGCAGAACAGCACGAATGCCCGATTTACTGATCTTAGTGAGCTTCTTGAGAAGTGCGGCTGTAAGGCTGGGGTAAAATGCATTCGATGCATAGGACAAATGACTGGTTATCATGCTGATGTACCATGACCGGCGTGCCGACAGTGTTAGGCACCGCCCATGCCGCCACAATTGGCCAACAGTCTGCGCAGTCTTTCTTACAACATGCTCTACATGAGGTTTCCATGTCAATGTGTCATCAACAACAACGCCTAGGTACTTCGCTGTGGATGTCACGTCCAGCTTATCAGTGCCACAGAACACAGGAGGTGGTTGGACAGTTGCTCCACGGGGCTGGATAAACAAGACCTGTGTTTTGCTGGCATTTATGAGCAGGCCGATATCATTGAGCCAAAGTGCAGCATCCGTCACAGCCTTCGTGAGAGTTGTGCTGAGTTGTGCGAGTATTCAATTATAATATTGTCAGCAAACTCTTGATGAGGGACAGCATGGGGTAGCACAGAACCCAGTTGGCGAGTGTAAAGCACAAACAAAATCGGCCCAAGAACACTCCCCTGTGGAACGCCCCTTGTGCAGTTAACAGAAGAAGACAAGTTGTCCACCACACGAACTTGTTGTGTTCGATCACTCAGGTAATGGCTGAACCATTGGAGGGCAACTCCCCCAATGCCAATGGTGTAAAGCTCGTCCAGAAGTCTTGCGTGCTGGACTCGATCAAAAGCCTTCGACATATCGAGCATAGCAATGCCAGTGTACTCCCGCCTGGACCTGGCTGCCTGCCACCGGTTTACTGCTAAGACCAATGCATCCTCTGTGGAGTGTGGGGGGGGGGGTCTGTAAGCAAATTGGGTAGGTGGGTAGAGTTCATTCTGGTGTAGGTAATCAGTTAACTGTTTCTTGACGCATTGCTCGAGAATACGGGACATGATGGGCAGAAGTACGGGGCGGTAATTGCCTGCTGATGAAGGATCACCGGATTTGTAGAGAGGACTAACATGGGAGTGTTTGAAGCACTTTGGCAGAACACCACGAGACAACGAGGAATTGGAATGCGAGCACACTTCTGCAAGACAATCCCAGGGACTGAATCGCTGCCAGTTGCTTTGGTTGGGTCCACCACTTTTAAGTATGTCGCAACATCTGCAACCGACACAGGGTGGAATGCTTGTAGACTGTTTTCAGGCATCGGTTCACACGGTATTGGGATGATAGCTGGCCTCGTAGGATCATGAACAACATTACCAAAAGTCTGACTGAGTTCCTGTAAAGGGCTTGTGCAGATTGTTCTTTCTTCATTCGTCCAGTTACTGTGCTCATGTTGGTCCACAGTTTACGCTGGTTCGAAGTGGTGCATTGATGCAAGAAGTACAGATTTTTCAGCTTCCGATCCATTCGCCGGGCAGTCGGACGAGCAGTTCTGTGCTGGGCACGGAGACTATCATCATACCGGTTACGTTGCAGCTGGCAGTGCAATTTATTTCGTTTCCTGACACATTTCACTAACTCGTCAGTCACCCAAGGGCAAGGTCGACGAGCCCTTTTCCGTACTTGGACGAGTGGAGCATGTTTGTCCAATATAGCCATTATCCTGTCTATAATATTAGTAGCAGCAGCATCTATATCCTAGTGGTAGTGTGTTCAGGGAAGTGCTCAAATCATGCTGAAAGCAATTCCAGTCTACTTTATACATCTGTCAGCTGACCCGAAGCAAAGTATTAGTGATGGGTACTAGCTTTTTTACAGGTAAATGTGCTAGCACGACATGATGGTCACTAATGTCCAGGTGGACTGTTTCGCAGGTACCAGAAATGGGACTTGATGATAGGAACACGTCAAGTGTGGTGGCAGACTGACTGGTCACTCTAGTGGGTGAAGAAACATAGTTCTAGAGATCAAGCGGGGCCATCAGGTTGCTTAAATGTGGGCCCTGGGCTGCAGGTGTATTTCCACAGTCCTCATTCAAGTCACCAATTAGGACTATGGATTCATGCCGACACTGATAAGCATTGTGTAGTACCTCTTCCATGTCATCCCAGTAGCTAACAGGCTGATTCGGCGGTCGATAGGCACAACCAACCAGCACCGGAGTGCGTGATGAACAGATCTCTATCCACATGCCTTCCAAGTGCGGGACTTCAAGATCATGCCGCCTCCGTACTGGAATGGATTCATGGCAGTATATTGCCACTCCCCCACCATGCCGAGCTACACGGTCTTTCCTGAAGAGACGGTAGTGGGGCACTGTCAACTCTCCATCGGCTATGCAGGGTTTCAGCCAGGTCTCCGCAATACCAAATATATGGATGCCGCGTCTAGTTAAATATTCCTGCACCTCATCAATCTTGTTTCTTATACTGCATACATTGAGGAATGAGATGATGATCGTTGATAGAGTTGGTTGGAATGGTGTGGCGTTCGGATTTAGTGGAGACTTGACGTTATTGGCCGTGAGTCTGGCAGTTGGGTTTGACTCTGTCATAGATTATGTAAAAGAAGATCAAATCAGTACTCAAAGGTTATCCCACCGATTGTAACATTCGCCAGGCTGCTGTCTGCATCCTCTTGTGAATCTGAATTTCCAACTGGCAGTTCATCACTTTCAGATGAAGGAAATCCTTCATTGCTGTGCAGTGCAGTCCTGGACTGTGCTGGGAAGGTGTGTTTCACAGAAGACAGGGTGAAGCCCTCAGCGTCAGCTGACTGGCGAGCTGTCTTTCCTCTGCAGAATTTGTTCATATCCTGCATTGGGGTTCTGCTCTGACTGGTGGTCTCATTGCGAGCCTGCTGCAACAGTTCCGATATATTCCCAGTGTTCTGCTTCTCCTTTGGATCTACGTGGGGTTGCACTGGGTCCGTACAAGGTTCACGAGGTCCAGATGACATCTCTAACTCTGCATCCGTAGATGTACTCGAGGCACCATGTACCGGAGGTGGTGGCTGGGGTTCAGAGCTGTGGTGCACAGAGTTGTTGGCTTGACGTGCGCTTGACCCTACCATACTGGAGTACAGCGTACCAGATGCAGAGTTCTTGCCACCTTCCATCTGCTGAGTGCAATTCCTGGACACGTGGTGGCTTGACCCACACTTATAGCATGTTGGAGTCTAACCCTTGTGCCATACACGGATTCTCTGGTGTGACCCAGGCAAGACAATCACAGAGGGGACAGCTACGGTCGGTACTATACTGACGTACACCGTTCCAGTGGTGAAGGTACAGGCTTCAATGGTTTTCACCTCCCGCTTTGGTTTGCCGATCACAGTGCCGAATTTCTCGATTGCAGAGACAGTGGAAGGGAGGGGAACGTCTTCAGCCACGCCAAAAGCATGGACTGACACTACAGCACCATCTCCAACCACCAAGGTCAAAGGCGTTCCGTTAGCCTGCAGGCCTTTCGTCACAACATTGTCCCTTACTTCAGTGCTGCAAAATGTAATTCTGCAGAATCCACTTGGGCCATTTACTATTTAGATCTACTTGCTTCACATCTCCTGGTTTTACTCCAGCAGATAGCAACAGCTTTGCGTAGAACGCATGATCGTTCCTTGGATGGTCCTCCCCTAACTGTATCAAACACACTCTCGACATTTTAGAAACAAACCCAAAAATCCCACGGATTCTTGGAGGTCAAAATCTTGCTGGCTTCTCTAAATCAGTCGTAAGTAAAGTAAAGTTTGCACGTCCACGTTACAACCGGCTATGCAATTGCGTTGAGAAACACAACCAGCTTAGGAAGTTTTGCTTGTGCCAGGCCACCACCATGCCTGTGATACCAGGGTGGCAGATGCAGCGCCTAACGGCGAGGGTGAGGTGGTAAGTCTCACAACCAATGCCCGACAAGGGGGCTAACCTCGTCAGTCGTACTCAATTTATATAAATAGCACTTCTAATTCTGACGTCAGGACACGTTTCGCCGATACTGTTTCCTAGGATAGTACGACTCCCTGATATGCCCCTTTGGAAATGGGGGCGCGTGACTCTAGCAAATTTCTAGTTGAATTCCAGCCAGTTATGGCCTGTTTTGCTATACAGGAACAGGGCCCATGCAGAGGTGTACAATCATGCAGCTCGTCACGCATATCACCAATTAGCCCATTACCCACATTGTCGAGCGTGGTGTGAAATTTGGGAGCATTTTATCCTTACTGATGTTTCATACTGTTGTTCATGAGATAAGCCATGGAAATAGGGGATCAACTAATGCATGCAGCACTCATGTAACGGATCATTCTTGGCCTCTTAATGAAAGTTTACGAGCTGACCGTGTGTGCGTATGTGTGCGCATGCATATGTGAGAACAAGGCAAGGCGTGTGCAACCATTTGTGTGTGTGTATGCGTGTGTGTGTGGGGGGGGGGGCATGTGTGCGTGCGTGTATGTGTGTCTGTCTGTGTGAGTGTGAGCATGCGTGTGTGTAAGGTGTTCGGCGTTGAGCGAGCTGCATCCAACAACATACACACTTTCCCAGACTCTTTTTGACTTGCTGGCCAATTCTTTCTTTTTCTTTTTACAGATATTTCACCGAAGTCGGCACATTCCAAGTTATGCCGACGAATGACAGCTCACTGCGTCTGGAGCTGAACGCTCATCGGTGGAGCAAGTGTGCACACATGCTGTACTGGGAATCTCCCGTCGGTGTTGGTTTCAGCTATTCACCCAGCAAACACTACAAGACCAATGACAGCCATGTGGCCGATATGAACCTGCAGTTCCTCGTCAACTGGTTCAAAGAGTTTCCCGAGTACGCCAACTTGGACTTCTATATTGCCGGTTAGTGACCACTCAGTGTGTTGTAGCAGAGAGTTGTGTATGCGCGTGAGAATAATTTCTGTGTGGTTGAAGTACTACAGCTCAATGATAGTACAGTCGACCTACCCTTATAACGATATTTGCGTCACACCAAGAAATATTGTTATAAGGGTAATATTGTTATAGGGGTAACTGGTTCATTTCATACACATACGTCATAATGCATGGATTTTGTTCATTTTTTACACTCTCCATAGCGTAAAAACTGACATACATGCACACTATGTGCACAGCAAGGTGCCCACTGGTGCCCCATTACATTTCGTCATGTCCCAACGACTTATCAAGTGAAGCTTGCCCTACCTGGATAGTAGGCTCTACATATTCCCTGCTAGATATTGTTATAAAATGGAAGATGTCGATTGGTCAGCCCATTTTATATCGTTATAGGGGTAATATCGTTATAGCAATATTGTTATAGAGGTAAGGCATTGTATACACAAGTCAATGGAGTGATTTGGTTTGGCAGAAAAATATCGTTATAAGGGTAATATCGTTATAGAGGTTATCGTTATAAGGGTAGGTCGGCTGTAGCTTGCAGTGTGCATATGTGCAGATGCAAAACTTCCTTTCTTTTCAGTAGTGCACGCTTTCTTTCCCGTCTCCCGGCAGCAGTAGTGTATGCAGGGGTTGGTTAAGCTTGTGTATCTGTTCTTGTACTGTTCACGCGTGTGTAATGTTCAGGTGAGTCCTACGCTGGTATCTACATCCCCATGGTTGCAAGTCGGGTCAAGGACAACGGCAACATCAACCTGAAAGGCATCATGGTCGGAAACGGCTGCATTGGAAATCAGGTGGGTGCCTGCTCGGATACATACGAACTCGGCTTCGCCATGCCGTACCTGTACACGCACGGCTTTGTGAGTGACTCGGCGTACAAACGCGTGCAGACGCAGTGTGCCGGCTCGCTGCGTCCGTCCGGCGAGGCGTGCGTCGCCGCCATCAACGCGGCCTACGGCAGCGTGGGCCCGATCAACGTATACAACGTCCTGGGGTCGTGCCAGCTTGCCAACTCCTCCACGTCAAGCGGCTCTCGCTTGCTGCGCACGCACTCGCACGTCGGCGACGGCATCCGAGGTCTTCCGGACTGCCTCGTCGGCCAGTACGCGCAGGCGTATCTGCAGAACAGCGGCGTGCAGAAGGCGCTCCACATCGTCCACGACACGGAGCTAGCTCCGTGGACGGCGTGCTCGGACACGCTGCACGCGTACTACGGTGAAACTGTGCCGAGCATTCTCAACGACTACACGCACATCCTGGGAAGCTATCGTGTACTGATCTACAACGGCGATGCAGACTGCCGCATCCCCTTCACTGATAACAAGCAGTGGACGGAGCAGATGGTGGAGAAGTGGGGACTGTCGACGGTTTCCAAGTGGCAACCGTGGCTGACTGACGATGCACAGGTAATGTATTGGCGTAGAGTGTGCTGGAGGGTATGTCGCTGTTTGTGCGTGTGTGTGTGTTTGTGTGTGTGTGTGTGTGTGTGTGTGTGTGTGTGTGTGTGTGTGTGTGTGTGTGTGTGTGTGTGTCCCATATGGTGCAATGGTATGTGCTGTGATTTCCAATCGAGAGGCTGCGGTTCGATTCCCGACGATTGTGGTCACACACGTCTTTCTTCTCTTTCTCAGATTCCTCCTGACTTTTCTTTCATTCTCTTGGGTGGTTAACAACAGCCAGTGTATGTGGTGTGATGTGTACAGGGAAAATGGAAAAGACCAAAAAGTAGGAATTCACTGGCCAGAAAAAGCCACTTCATAGCTGTGTGGTGTAGACCAGGCTGAATATTGGCGGTCATTTCTTCAGCCTTGCAAGCTGTTGAATGTTGCAATCCCAGCACGAGTTGCTATGGTTTCTGCTGTAGCATCGCTATCATCCCCTCCGGCGATGGGCGTCAAATGGTCAAATTGTGTGTGTGTGTGTGTGTGTGTGTGTGTGTGTGTGTGTATGTGTGTATGTGTGTATGTGTGTGTGTGTGTGTGTGTGTGTGTGTGTGTGTGTGTGTGTGTGTGTGTGTGTATGTGTCGGGTGTGTGTGTGCGTGTACGTGCATGAGTGTCTGCATCCGTGTGTGAGTATACATGTACATGTATGTGTGTTGGCATGCTTGCTTTTCTTGTTCTCCAAGTTCTGTCTCTCTTTTTCTCTGTCTCTCTCTGTTCCCTTTCTTTCGTGACCTTGGTCCTCCACGCTGCACTCCAGGTCGGTGGTTACCTTACTAAGTATTCGAAGGACTTCTCCTTCATCACGGTACGAGGAGCTGGCCACATGGTGCCGCAGTTCAAGCCGCAGGCGGCATTCGAGATGTTCCAGCGTTTCTTGACCAACACGCTGTGAGTAATGTCATAGTACGGCGGCGCGGCATGCGGCATGGGGCCCGAGGTTGTATCGGGGAATCTCTGGCCCCCGCATAAGGCCTTTCGCTGGAACAGAGCAAGGCATGCTGAACTTAGGCTGGCAGTTTTCGCGGAGAGTCTGTTCTGACATGCATCTCTGGCTATTCGAACTTAGCTGCTAGTGCTGGAAGTATGTAAGTGTTTGCAATGGTAGCGACTGCCTTGGCATTCTTGTCCAATGCATGTCTCATGCCCACATTCCTGGTACTCCGTTTGTGCCGGCGTCTGAGCTCTGTGGATTTGTCAGATCTTGTTCGTTCGTTTGTGATGTCGTCTTGCCCTCTCGCTTTCTCTTTCCTCTTTCTCTCTTTTCTTTATTGTAAGCCATTCCGAGGCAGATGTCGCCACTTGCTGTGCATGTGGCCATTATCCACTGGTGCTGCGTTGGACTCTTTCTTTCAGATGTTTTCTTCGCAATTCACTCTCTGCAAAGACTATGTGCATGTTGTGTTGCATCTGAATTCTAGTACAGTCCAGCGTTGTTCTGTTATTTCCAGCCCCGCCAATACGGTACAGAGAATTGCTGCCGATGCTGATGGCAAGGAAATTGTTCTTTTTTTTTTTACCAATCAAAGAACCAGAATAGAACATTGTGTTGTGCAGAACCCACGGCCTCTCACGACCGGATAGTGCATACGCTGCGCTGGTTGGTGGGGGAGTGTGAAGTTCCATGTACTGTGCTGCTCAATGCAATGATTTGAAATCCAGTCACAGTGTCACTCAAGTACGCGCCGGGCGTTGCGCAGCCCTAGACCTGCCAACACTGGGCCGCGAAATGGTGCACCGTTCAAGCTAACTTGCAATCAGTGCCACGACTGGATTTCATTGTGCAGGACTGTATACTATATAGTAGGAGATGCAATGCTGCTGCCTACTCTCTTTGTCTTTCACCTTTCAGCATTTTACTTCCAGTCAGCATCACTGTCCAGGCTGTATCTATGTGCTGCTGTTGAGTGCTAATGTGATGTTCAGCTGCGCGGGGATTTAGTGGTGGGTGGGGCGGTGTGGGGGGGGGGGGGGGTGCATGTGTACATGAATTTCTAGGAAGAATGGCAGGTGTTTGCTCGGGTCATGGGGGTATTGTTGGTGATTTCAGTCTCTCTCTCTCTCTCTCTCTCTCTCTCTCTCTCTCTCTCTCTCTCTCTCTCTCTCTCTCTCTCTCTCGCTCTCTCTCTCTCTCTCTCTCTCTCTCTCTCTCTCTCTCTCTCTCTCTCTCTCTCTCTCTCTCTCTCTCTCTCTCTCTCTCCATCCATCCATCCATCCATCTATCTATCTATCTCTCTCTCTCTCTCTCTATCCATCTCACACACATACCCGCGCGCACGTGCCCACACTCAGACACTCGCACCTCCACACATGGGAGCACCCCCCCCCCCCCCCCCCCACAAACACACACACACACTGTGACACATACACTCAGGCCCACTCACACATTCACACGGTAGTACCCCTCCAAAAACACATGCACACACACACACACACACACACACACACACACACACGCGCATACACACGCACACACACACACACACACACACACACACACAGACTGTGACAGACACACTCAGGCACTCGCACACATTCACACGTGAGGACCCCTCCAAAAGCACGCGCACACACACACACGATACCCGTTATATTCCACACTCTGTAAGAGGCATCTCTGTATGTAGTATTTATTGGGTAACGTTCATCAACTTTTATCAAAGACTCTCAATTTCGGTGGCGAAACGGAGATGCATGAGCAAAGAAACTTCTGACCTCGACGTGTCGGAGCTAACATGCACGCAGAAAAGAGAAGCAACAGCTTTCCAAGTCCCACCGGGAGAAACCAACAATAGACAACAGCGTGTTATTCTTCTATCTGGAAGTACAATATTCTCTCTTGTTTTGTTACTGGGCAGACTTGAGATCTACAGGTATTGGTTAAGGTCAATATTGCATAGAGGTGTTATCTAGGCAAGTTTACGGCCGCAAGACGAAAGAAATACGGAGCAGAGCCACGGTTAAGTAAAGTAAAAGCAAAATTATCGTGTCCATTCCCGAAGGGAACTCACGACGGCCACTAACATCCGTTATTCCCCTCCCTCCCCCCCCCCCCCCCATGGTGGTAATAATTGAATAAAATTAGAAATCCTGTGTACAAGTTTGAACGCGGTGCACCCGTCCTCATCATCGTCGTCATCGCCATTGCCACTCCACTGGCTCACATTTCACGAAGGCTGAGCACGGTGTTGCGATGCTCGCGCCTCTCCTCGACCAGTTGCTTGGAGAACTTGCGCGGCGCCTGGCGCGACTCCACGAACACGTCCTCGGACTCGTTTCCGTTGAGGCGCGGGTACGCCGAGCGCACCTCGCCACGCGGAAACGGAGTGGGGTTGCCGCCGCCGCCACCGAAGTCTGACGACTCTGAGAGACGCGAGTGTCGCTGCTGAGCCGGCTGGTGCTGAGACAGGCGGGCAGAAGCAGCGCTGCCGTTGCCGTCGCCGCTGTTTGCGCGATGGTGACGCGGCGCGGCCATCGGCTTGTGGTGGTCGTCGACGGCGACCGGATTGAGGAAGCTCGACCCGCCGCCCTTGTCCAGATACATACAGCCAAGCTTGTGTTTGAGCGGTCGTGTTGAGCAACAGTACACACAACAGCCGGAGAGCAAGCCACCGATAATGAAAGCGCCGCCACAGCTTATGCCCAGGATGATCCAAGTTGGCTGTTGCTCTGCACCATACAAGCACACATATATAGGCAGGCATGCAGCCATGGTATGGTGCATACATGGGACAACAAGACATGCACACACACACACATACACACACACACGCACACACACACACACGCACACACACACGCACATACACACACACACACACACACACACACACACACACACACACACACAAGCACACGCAAGTCAACTGGGAACTTGTGGCCAGGCACAAGGGATGCATTGGTGTGGCTACTGAAGGGCTTTCGGCATTTGGACCAGTGGTTGTGAGACTAATTCCCTCACCCCCACTGTTAGGCACTGCATCTGCCACACTGTTTTTCACGAAGATGTAACTGCAATCACAATATTTCACACAGGCAAGAAGTTCTTTGTCGTTTGAGTTGGCAAACCTGCAAGACAGCACCACTCCCTGATCAAAAAATATTTTTAAAATTAATACTCTCATTTCAGAAACCTTAGATGCTCAAAATTTTCGGTATGCGGGCAAAAGGCCAGGTTAGGGGAACAGGACATTTTGGTACAGAGAAGCAGTTCCCTATGATTATGTGTGTTAGTGCTTGTTCGGTGTATTGAAATTTTAGGTCTGAAACAGACGCACTGAAAGTACCGAAAATAAAAGTACACCGAAAATTTGTAAAATTACAGTAATCTGAATGGACTACTGGTGCTCGTGTCCTCAGTATTTGTGTCAAATGAAGCTGGCGGGAAAAACGCTATTATGAACTTTTCATGGAACCATCTCCCACAGCCATCTTGAAATAGAGTGGTTTCACATCAGTTTGTCATGTGACCAAATTTGTGTGGAAAGTGATCATGGCATGTGGACAGTGGAACCAAGGTGGCCGCCGATATCATGTGACCCATGCATGCAGTGGTTGAGTGGACAGTGGAAGCAACATGGCTGATATCATGTCACCTATGGATGCAGGGGTTGTGTGGAGTTGGAACCAACATGGCTGTCCTGTGTGGTCATGTGATACATGCGAAACCACTCTATAGATAACTCCATGAAAACTCACCTGGGCAGTCTGGCTGCGCGGTGGCCATGTTTCCGTCATCCTCGCCGCCGCCGGGTGGACACGTAGGCACTGCTGCTGGCTGTGTTGGCGTGTCTGCTGCTGGCTGTGTTGGCGTGTCTGCTGCTTGAGTCGTTGCCTGCTGCCCACTGGTGGCGCTTGTGTCGGGTAGTGGCGAGCCGGCGGAAGCGTCCGTGTCGTTTGTCATCGTCTCGTTGAGTTCTGTGCCCGCGTCCATCATGGTGGCATTGCCATCGGTGCTTCCATTGATGTCACCTGCTAAACACAAACAATTGTGGCGTTAGAGAAGCAGAATTTATTATGCATGTATCGATCTTGTACACGAAAGGAAAAGGTTTCGTTTTCTGGTTGGGTTGGAGAGAGTTTCGTATTGAAAAATATCGATAGCTTGAGTTCTGAGTTCTGTTCTGCGCTCATGTCCATGGTGGCATTGTCGTCGGTGGTCGTCGTGTGGCTGTCAACTGCTAAAGACAAGCAATCATGTGTTGTTAGGGGCGTCTCTAATTATCGATCTCTTACACGAAAGGAAAAGGCTTCGCACAAGGGTGAGTGGGTGGGTCGAGGAGAGTTTCGTATTCAATAATATCAAGAGTAGATAAACAAGAGTGTGCAACTCCGCATCTCTTCTGCACAATCTGCAGATACCCCGGCCCACGGCGGAAAGTTTTGTTGACGTCACCTTTTCAGGAGCACGCGCATTTTGCCGCAGAGCAATGTGAGAGCACGTGCTGGGCACCGACCTTGTAATGTAAAGCCCGGCCAAGTGCACGAGGCAAAATTTCCCCAAGACTCGAAGCGCGTGAGCGTAGGAAAGATTACGTCAACAAAAACTTCTGCCGTGGGCCAACCCATCCGGGAGTTGCACACTCTTGTTTATCTACTCTTGATACTATCGATAGCTGAAACACCATCCTATCTTAGCTTTCAAGTCAATAAATACATTTTCCGTTCTGAAGCAGGGGTTGTAACTCAACTGGTCCGTGAAAATAAAAATTGAGCCTCCAGATCCAAAAAGGGGGCTTATGTCATTTTTGAGCATTTTGAGTTATCTATACCATGACATTGCTGTATCCCAGCAGGTCACTCTGTAAAAAACCTACAGGTCCAAAATCTTCATCTTTCACTTAGTTATGGGTGTTTCAATGGGCATTTGTATATCGCTTTTAAAATATGGAAAACTCAACTTTCAAATGCACTTTTCTCAATACTGCGCCAAACGACATAAGCCCCCTTTTCGGATCTAGAGGGTCAATTATTATCGACAATGCCGATGGCCCCTTGACTCCGCTTATAACGAACTCGCATGTAGCAAATTCCGTGACAGAGCGAACCATTGTCCATGTCCCTGTTAGAACCCATACGGAATCGGCCCGAGACGTAGCACTGATTTCAACAGGAGAACATGAGATTCAAGCGACCCGTTTCTCATAATTTGTAGAGTTTTAGAAGTACTGACCAAATTGTACCTGTGCTTCAAAAGAGGAGGATGGTGGGGAGCTTGTCTGGCAATGAACGCTACAACATCCGCTTTACAAGTATAGTGTCAATTTGTCACCATTCATCAGTATGTACGAGTACGTGTGATATTTGAAGGACGTTGAGCTGGCCATAATAATGATTCACATGTTGAGAAATGTTTCAACTTGCAAATGCCAGTGCTGTTCAGGTGGAAAGCTCTCAACGCAAATGTACGGGGCTTGGGAAGTGCTTCCTTTGTCATCAGAATTTCGTTTCACTGGAAATCCGTCCAGCTATGAGACATATGTTGTGGTCTGCACTTTCTTTCACGTGTTCCACGGTATGGTCATTCCCCCCCCCCCTTGGTTTTCGTTTCGTCGGAGCCAAATGGCTCCTCATGAATCGTCAACACGACGTGCTATGCTGTATCTGTATTCAATGTCTTTGATCAGGGCCAGTTCGCTGCCTCGGTTCCCTCAAATCGTGTTGTTTGGGGGGTGTCGAACTGTCCCTATGGCAGACTCATCACGCAATTTCGGATGAACTACCACGTGGAAACAATCAGCAACAAACACTGTTTGTCATGGTGTTGTGGTGTTCAATTGGCTTTGGTGTCTCTTTAGTAGATGGCCAGCTGGCCATGACTCAGCGTTCCTCTAGCCAGCAGAATGTTCCAGACAGAACCACACACTGAAACCTGCCCCTTCGCCACTGCTGCATCATTCAGCGGGTAAACACAAACAGTCCGGTGGTAGGGTTCGCCGGAAACACAACCCACTACGGAGCACCTTACAAACAAGGGTGACAAATTGCTTGCCTTCCTGTGAATCAGTAGCGCATTCAGGACTGGCGGAAGCAGATTTTGATTGGTTCGGTCATACCCCCCCCCCCCCCCCCCCCGCAGTTCACACAGTTTGTGTATGATATGATGGGTAGTCACATGACCTACTCAGTACTAAACACAAGTTGATGGCCAAAAGTTGGTCCGGCCGTGGCCTGACCAACCGGACCGGTTCCTGGCATTTCCTCTGAGAGCATCTTGGCTAAGACCACCTCTTTCTGACAACTTGCCGTCAGCGCTACTAACATTAAATGCCGCCAAGTACTTCAAAGTACATGAAACAGGAAAGAGAGGTTAGACGTGTCCAGCCCAAACTTCCACACGCAGTCAATGGGGCTGCCTCTTCTAAAGTTAATTATCATGATCAGACGTGCAGAGAGGGTGTGAAGGAGAGGGTTTCCTACGAGAAGGAAAACATGAAAATACGGGAGAGAAAGAAAAGGAGAATGCAAGAGACGTGATCTGCAAAGTAGAGAGCCTCGAAACCGTCGACAGGAATACTAGAACTCTTGGCGGTAGGTACGCCATGCCATGCAAACACGTCTTGGGAACACCACCTCCCCCCTCTTCCAACTATTCTCTATACAGGTACCAAGTGTCCCACTTTCAAGCTGTGGCACGCTTCCACAGAGCTTCAATCTACTAGAAAGCACGTTATTTTCAGTGTGACTTCCTTTTCGGTGATTTCAGTAGAGAAACCGGGCACGTAAATTTAGATGTCACCTAAATGGCACTGGAGTATGCACTGTATGTGCAGGGAATGCTGGTCGCCTAATTCTACAATTGCACCGGTCTGAAACCTGGCAGGTCCCTGACACCGAACTTTTAAACTACACCCAAAGTCACATGTTTTACCGTATACAATACCGATAGCGTACAGCATTCCATTATATGACTTGCTTTCTTGTGAACATGAGAATGCGAATGAGCGGCAAGTCGACTCTGACATCTGGCTGTACGAAAGGATTTTTTTGGGCAATTTCGTTTGGAGTGTTGACATCCTTACAGCCAACTTGGAAGAAAACGAAGTTTACCATCGTGAAAACCGAATTAAAATGGGGTTAGTGGACGTAAACACTGGGCTTCAATCACTATTGATCATAATTATTAATATTGAACCGGTAAATCGAGGCCCAAAGTATTGGGTCTCGACTTGTACCCGGTAAAATACAGTTTGTCAACTCACTTGAATCGGTTTGTCCTTGACATGGCATTATCACACATAGCAGCAATACCAGCAGTGTTAGAGTGATGATTCGACTGGTGCAAAGCCACGGCATGCCGCTCATTGAACCCTGCTAGGTATGTAGACACACGCAAGCACAAACAATGCGCACGCATACACACACACACACACACACACACACACACACACACAGAGGCATGCACACACACACACACACACACACACACACACACACACACACACACACACAAGCACAAACAACACACACATACACACACACATACACACAACACACACATGCAGAAGAAGAAATAATTCAAAGACTTGAAAACACAACGTAAGAAAACCGTCACCGTATTGTACACAATCCACTGCACGGCTTCCCTGTTGTCGATATGCTCTTGTGCTATTCTCATCATGGTCGATTCAATGCATGTGGTTATTCTGTTGTCTTCTTCCGCAACACCCATCCCCTTTTACAATGTCTGATTGCAACGCCAACACCGAGAGACCTCTGATTGGTTGAGTTGCTCTGAGTACATTGGCACGTCGCCCCCTACATCCCCTTTGTTTTGTTTCATGCTGTCATCCACATGTCTCCCAGTTGGGCTGTGTTCATAGTAAAAAATAAAAATAAAATAGAATGTGATGTGGGTGAGAGAGTGAGTGAGTGAGTGACTTACAATGGCAGTTACACTTAGTTGAACCTGAGTAAGGCCACCTTACAGGCTTAGACGAGGCCACTGGCTCTATGGTGAGTGGGAGCAGGGCACGGTCCACCCCATCAATACTAGTTGTGAGTCGGAGCGGGGCACGGTCCACCCCATCAATACTAGTTGTGAGTCGGAGCGCGGCACGGTTCACCCCATCAATACTAGTTGTGAGTCGGAGCGGAGCACGGTCCACCCCATCAATACTAGTTGTGAGTCGGAGCGGAGCACGGTCCACCCCATCAATACTAGTTGTGAGTCGGAGCGGAGCACGGTCCACCCCATCAATACGTATATATTATAACAAGGGACCGAGTGTATATCGAGAAATATAGACCAGTATAAAAACCGAGGCGTCGCCTCGGTTTTTATACTGGTCTATATTTCTCGATATACACTCGGTCCCTTGTTATAATATATTTATACCTCTCCATGCGCAAGCTCAAGCGCAAAAAGGAGTGAATATAGCTTTCTTTCCCTAAAAAGGAGTGAATATAGCTTTCTTTCCCTAAAAGGAGTGAATATAGCTTAGAGAAAGAAAGCTATATACACTCCTTTTTAGAGAAAGAAAGCTATATACCGTACTGGCAATATATGTTGCCGCAGTGAGGCCATGAAGCGTTACATTGGCCCATGTTTGCTGCACGCAGGGCGTTACATGCAAAGTCGCACAGGAGCCGTTACACAGGTTTCTATATTGCCGCAGTCCTTTTTTTGCTATTGCCGCATCACTTTTTGCTATTGCCGCATCATTTTTTTGCTTTGGCCGCATCATTTTTTCTTGTGCAGTGCAAACTGCAATGAAAAGATCGCCGCACCCCGCCGGACGCGCGTTACGAACTCAACGAAAATTTGTCGCACTAGCCTGGTCGCGCGTTACGCCGCACCCCCCTGCGTTACGCGTTACGCGGCAACATATATTGCCAGTACGGTACACTCCTTTTTAGAGAAAGAAAGCTCCTCAGTGGGTTTTTTTCTGATGGTTTTCCTCAGTGGTGTATATACCTCCTTAGTGGTGTATATTGAACAGTGTATGTGGAAAATTATAAACTTCATGGGAGATCTGGTTTATGAGTGTGGGTGTATATGGAGTGAGGTATAATAGTTCATATTCCATGGCAGTACGGTCACCCTGAAACTACGTGTACGAGAATACGACCCTGGCAGCCTGCTACATCCACTCTTCCACATCGGTATACATGTGTACGTACGCCGGTGTTACCGCACGCATGTCTGACTACTTGGTAGCGTACATGCACTGTCTAAACTTGCCGCCAAGGCCCAGTTCGTTCATTTCCGGCTGATAACGTTTGCATAATGTTCTCGTTAAGAAATCCGTTTTCAAAATGCACAGACGCCTTACAAATTCACTTTGCCGTAGTTGGTGAGTTTCATTATCTCGTCTTTGCTGTGGCAATGGGCACGATCCACTAGTGTGTGATGCATCTTTCTGTGAATCGGGCTTGTGCTGCTACATGTGCTGGTCCATTTATCGTCACTTTTTACAAGATGGTCACAAAACGCCATGGTGCTAACGCCAGCATGAAATGGCACAGACGCACCTAGCGACGGCAGCCGAACGGAGGCCGGGCAGGAGCAGCTAAACCGACCAGGGTTCTCGGCGTCAGCGCCGCCTCATGCACACGAAACAGAAAAAAATACGGAACTTTAAAATGGCAACAAGATGAACATGTGTGATTCTTGCACCAAGGTGCCGCCGCGTACGAACGTTCCCCAGGTGCTGCTGCGTACGAACTTTCCCCAGGTGCTGCTGCGTACTAACGTTCCCCAGGTGCTGCTGTGTACTAACGCTCCCCAGGTCTCATTCAGTGACTGCAGTCAGTGTAGAGTCTAAGAGTAGTAGTAGTAGTACATGTAACTAAAGTGGCTCGCACTATTCCATTGTAGATAGAGTGCACGAATTATTAATATTATTAATATGCTGTGCGTATCCTGATGAAACAAGATCACGCGCCCGCTCAAACCACTTACGTACATGTACATGTATCGTGAGAATCCGGACAAAAAATTATGAAGGAGTGATTTTTCTCGTACCGCGGTATACCGGTGCAGAGTGAGCCAAATGAACAGGCGCTACAGTGCGTTTTTTTATAATAGACTCTGAAAACCTTGAGAACGTACTCAAGGACACTTTTGAGAAAATGTCATGCGAGTTGCGTCACGAAAATCTGCGCGCGAAATTCGAAAAACCAGGTGTGACTCGTGGCATTTCGCCATCTTGTTCAGAGTGTCCTTCGAGCTCCTTGCCTCGAGTCGTGGCCGGAGGAATCATTTTGTTGCTGACTGCTCTGTGGCCCTATTTTGCTTTTTCTCGAGTGTCTTTTCGTTCGTGGCAACTTGTTCTCTCGACATGCTACATAATTAGAACAAAACGCGAACGGGCCATGGGCATGGTACATGGTGGTGTCTGTTTTACAATTTTTTTGCGAAGACGAGGAGAACAATGGCTAGCGGCTGGGCATCGAATTGGTCCCAAGTATTCCATTCGTCATGATGCTGTTGCGTGTGGCGTCAGCATTTCCACCATGAACAGATGTACCAGGGATGCTGATGGCGAAAATCAGCGTGCTGCGTTGGCCTTGTCTGTCTCCAGTGATGAAGATGAAGGCAACGGGAGTGACAATCCCCGATGTGAGACTCGTGCCATGATGAACCACTCAACCCTGACGGATTTGCTTTGGACTGTATTATACCAGAAGAAGTAATTTACGGATTCTATGCTGCGAAGGAGAACCCAACACTAGACAAAGTTCCTGCTCGCTGCAGAGAAACCATCGACGATTTTCCAGACATGAGCAAAACTAGCTCTTGGAAAATGTTGCGTTCCATGGGATTCCAGTGTGGCAAGACCAGAGGTATCACACAAATAATGATGGAACAGCACAGGATTGTGTCATGGCGGCATCGCTACCTGTGAGACATACCTGGATGAGACGTGGGTCAATGCGCGTCACACAGTTACTAGGAGGTGGTACGACAATGGTGACAGGAGTGTATAGGCAAGCAACCAAATGAAGCACCATCAGGTAAAGGCAAGCGCGTTATTGTTCTGCATACTGGTGGACGGGACAGATTCGTGAAAAACTGCGCCGATGTGTTCGTGACTGGAGGCCGGCGCCAACGATGATATACGTCGTCGGCTGTCCGAGCACATCTGTTCACTGTGTAATACTGTCGTCACAAGTGCAACACAAAACACGGAATTATTGGGGCCGTTTCATTCCTCGCTGGTCTTCTACTATTCTCAGATGTTGAACCAGACACAATTGTGACCTATTTGCATTGTGTGTGTGTGTGTGTGTGTGTTTGTGTGTTTGTAAAACTGCTCATGCTTCCTTTTTGTTAGTCTCTTTATGGGAGCTGTGTGAATTGCCTTTGTGATTTGTTGTGGTGTTTGAATTTTCACTGCATTCTTTCAGGGATCGAGGGAAGTTTCCTACATGCATGCTGGAATGTTTTGATTTATTGAGCTAATTGCAATACAGGATTTGAATTATTCAGTACAGTTTGCCACAATAAGTCGTGAAAAGCCGCGACTCACTGGTTTCCTACAAAGGTTAGGAGAACTGCAGACAGCAGTGCACAACTGCACAGCCATGTGCATGTACATGCATGCGCTGTACTACAGTATACCGAAAAAGAAAAGAAAAAAAAGAATCAAGATGAACTGTACTGGATTCGAACCCATGCCGGGCACCATGCAAGTGATGAGCTTTCCTGGCTAAAACTTCCGTTTAAAAAATCAAAATCCACTGAAAACCATTTAAAACCGGATTTCCAGCCGAAACCCGGCCGAATATCTAACTTTGACAATTATTATTATTCCGACTCCCAAACTTAATTTTCTTCGATCCAAGACCCACACAAACGCAGCTGTGAAGAAAAAATTTCAAATTTGGAATGAGAACAAACTAAAAAATCAAAATCGACAATGGTCTGTTATAAAAAAACGCACTGTAGGCACGGATGATTTTGGTATCTGAAAGCACCCGGGCCATGGTAAGGAAGTCGCGACAGACTCGGGCGACGGGCGCACACCATGCCACAAGCTACATCATCAGTAGTGACAGTTTGGTCACGAGCGAACAACAAGAACAGTCACAATACAGTCATAGCAAAATTATAATTACCGGGGGAGGAATCCGCTGACCAACTCCAGTCCGAATCCACGCTGGGCCTCTTGCAAATGCTTTGCCAACTCCGCAGCGCCAACACCAGCTACTGCTGCTTCTGCGCTTTCCGCTGCTGGCCAGTCAGTTACTTGCAGGCCAGGTTTCAACACCTAGCGAATCGTCCAGCAGCGCTCTCACAGCAACAAGCTGAAATGGTCGAGCTGAAATAATTGTCAGGTCCGCAGATAAGAGGAATGTGAAAGTCCACCGAGTCCATACATCCGAGGCTTGAAGCCCGGAAATCAAATTAGTTCTGGGTCTGATGGTAGGCAGCCGTGTTGAAGGTCGGATGGAGAGACCATACGTCGATAGACTGCGGGTTGTCAACAGCTAGCCACATGCATCAACTAAATTCCCCGGGCGAGAGATGGCAAGAAATCAGCCAACACCTGGTACCCGTGCGTTTTTTTCTGCTGTCCCGGAACCCTGACCTAGCCAGTTACTGTTTCCTGCTGTCGGCGACATTCACTCGCATCCACTTCCTATCTCCACGAGAGCTAGAGCTGTAGTGTGGATAGCTGGTCGGTACATGTAGTCTAGATGTAGCTCTACGCACAGAGACCGCCACGCGCGGTGCGACCAATACTTCAGTATTGTCAATACTGAACTGAAGTATCCAGACTCAAAGACTCGTCAGACATATGAACGGAAGAACCACGACAGTGAAACTGGCGGAGGATATGCCAGTCGAGCGCGCAGATCGTTATCGATGATGCACGTGCAATCGTGCATGCACGCGCTGAGCGTGTGCGCGCCTGAGCTGTCAGCTTTTCACTGTGTCCCCTTATGGCCTTGGCCTTGGCCTATTTTGCTACGTTAGATGTTTCACTGGAAGAGAAACTCACAATACCTGACTGTATTTTTTAATCCATTGCGGCATTGGTCGTTGTACCACAGGCTGCATTGTTTGGGCCTGATCAATGATCTCTGACTTGTGAGCGCTAGCGCTGAGCCTGAGGCTGAGCCTGGAGCAGGCTGAGGTGACACGTATGTCGTTTGGATCTCCAGTATGCACTTCCACACGGTCTACAACCAAACCTGAGTCAGTGAGTAGTCATGTACAAAGTCATGTACTTTCTAGCGCTCACATCGGCCAAGTCAACTAACTAATTACTTCGATTCGGTATTATAGCAACGGCCATTCTCACTCTCACTTCTCACTTTTTCAGTAGCTCAGTGACTGGTCTGTTGCAAAGCGCGGACAAGGGAATTTCCCTGAAAAGCGATAAGTGCTTGCGGAGGTGTGTCAATGAGGAACAAAATATTTTGGAACACAGCACAACAGTTGTCTGAGTTGAACACACAAGGTGAAAATGCCCCCATGTACCTGCGGCCGTCTGTGCACATGTGGCTCTCAACAGACTCAAGTACACCAACACAAATTAATGATACTAATTACCGAGTTCATGTTGTACTTTGAAGATTGCTCGGTAACCATTGTCCAAAGCGCGACGTTGCATAACCATGATTGTAGCTACCGCCACTAGTAGTAGTAGTAGCTCATACTTCATAGTCATGACATGACTACATGCATGAGCTACATATCGTCAGGATGGCGAGCCCACTGCTAGTGGCTGCTCTTCCTCGCAGTCACCCAAATCAGTGTCTCACTCGCTCACTCTCAGTCTCGTCTGTCGAACATGCTCGTACAGCGACAGTCAAGAGAGACGCATGTCGTGAAGACCTCTCTCCCCCCCACCCAATAGGCAGTCTACTTCCAACGCATGCAGTTGCTATCCTTGAAGATCTACTGCACATGATTCATTGATTGTATACGTCATGTACTTGCTGACTTGCAGAAGGCAAACAGTTACTGCACTTCATGTTTATTCAGTGCACCCATCACAGTTAACGCCTATCCACATGATGGCTCAGCCGCTGTATTTGATCCCGAAGGATACTCTCAAAGCAATGCAGGAAAGAAGTCGATCATGGTGATCATGGTGACGATCATGGTGATCATGGTCACCATGATCACCATGGTGATCATGGTGACCATGGTGACGAATCGATGGAAATACAAACACTTGCAGTGAGGCATAGTTGATATAAAAGTATAATTATAAATTATTTTGAGAGTCCGTACTCGACTTTTAAGTAGGGGGTGGGGATCAGGTGAAAACTTGATGATAAGAAAGATAAGAAAGGTGCAGGGATAAAACTATTGTGACTTGTCAGTGCAGTGTTGGGGCACACAATGAATACAACAATTGTCTGTACTGGAGCATTCCCAGCCCGACATCCCGACGGTAGGGTACCGGGGCGGGTGGCAATGATGTTGGGCCAACCACTGAGGAGACTATAGGGCTCTCGAGTTCCATGAGGCTAGTGGACACGCTGCATGCGTAGTGGACACGCTGCATGCGTAGCGGACACGCTGCATGCGTAGCGGACACGCTGCATGCGTAGTGGACACGCTGCATGCGTGTAGCGTTGAAGTGGTGATAATAATTATGTTAAATAATGCTGGGGAGCATCACAGTTTGTACGCATGCCAGACTGCTTACATACCCCTGGCAGCACTATTCACTGATTCAGTATTCTATTCGATAAAAAATTAAAAAAAATAATAAATACCGTTACCTATCGGTATTATATGGATTTCAAGTATGCACAGAATCAACACTAAAGCCAGGTGTTTTTTTATGGGAATTATTTTAGAACAAACACCGAGCCCCTAGTGGTCTTCCTAGCGGTCACCTTGGAAAGAAAGGCTATACTATAGCACACTGTGTGTACAGTAGAGTGCCCATCACTACCCATACATGTACTTAGTATAACTATGACTGAGCTTCATTCGTACCGCAAATCGATGCTGAGGTCGGACGGGCGTTTTATTATGTCAGGAACGTCAGCACGGCTGAAATTGGGCAAATCCGGCGAGAGATCCAGTTCACTTTCGTTGTCACCATCCGCGGTCGGCTGAGCATCAGAGTGGAAGGGCGCGTGATCGTCAGCTGGCTGGAATTCCGCCCCATTGCTGGCCTCCGCAGACAGCATATTCTCATTGATGGACGATGCAGGGCTTCCAGCAGCGTCCACAACAGGTCCTTCATCACGTGCTAGAGCAGCCTCTGGTTGATCCTCTGCACTGCTCAGATGCACGTTCGACAGATGAGTAAGCGACTGTGTGCCAGTCGGTGCAGGACTAGATGGAGGCTGTCGCCCACCCGGTGCAGCATCTACACTGGCATTGGGCCCGGGACCTGGATGACGGGACTGGATAGGCTGCTCGGTGGCCATCGGCGGTGGAGATTGCGGGTAGGCATCGGTAAGACTCAGCTCCGATGTATTGTCGTCGTCGTCCATCGCCGTAGAGTTCTGCATAACGATATGAGTATCAAGTTCACCACCACTGGCCAAGGCCAGCGCTTGCTGGTCTTGTGACGGCAAGGTTGCACTCAGCTTCGACAGGCGGTATGGCGTTGTCGGGGTGCGCGCCGGACTGGCACCGAGCGGTGTACCGAGCATCTCCGCGCTTGCCAGGATCTGCTTGCGCTCGCTCTTGCGCGCCTTGGAGAAGCCGACTCGGCCCGGCTTGTTTGAGCCGGGTGTTCCCGCCACAGAGTTTGGACGGCTCATCTCCGAGTCGGAGCCGCCTCCAGCGCTGGCCACGGAGTTGAGCTGCACCAGACGCTTGTTGGTGGGAGTGGAGCTACCTCTGCTCTGCGCTTGCCCTCCTCCGGCCAGCCTGTTCATGCTTGGGGACTTCTTTGGGTCTTTCAGCGGCGGTACAGCCAGGACACCGTTGGCATGGCTGCCGCTTGTCGTTTCCATGGCGATGTCCAGATGCGGCGCATCTACACTGTCCTCGGGGTTGATGTCATCGTCATACTCCACACTGGGGTTGGGGATTGTGCTGAAGCCGAAACTCTGGCCACGCCCGCGTTGGCGGTCGACGCGCTTCTCCGCATCCAAGGTGCTCTTTCGTCGCGTGCCCGAGTAGCGTTCGTCGCCCTGGTTCCTGGACACGGCGTACTGTATGCAAAGGAAGCTGATCAACACGGTCAGCACGCTTGTGCCCACAAGGGACGCCGCAAACACTGCCCAGCTTGGGCGGCCTGCAGAGGAACATGCCACAGAACACAATCAAAGCAAAAAATAATAATTAGTGAGCAAATGTCTGCAGCCAAAACGATTATAATCCCCAAAAGAGGTGATGGTAGAAAGGGCTTGACTTTAGCGATTTTGGGAATGAAGTGCAGCATGGTATGAAGCACCGCAGGTAACTCGTACAGCTCTACGGAACAGATGAAACAATCTCTCCCTGAACTGTGCTGACATGGAAGTCTCCTACATATATATATGTAGGACTCAGTATAGAGTCCATGCACTATATGATGTCCAGCACCCTATATAGAGTCCATTGGTCCAAAATCCACTATACAGAGTCCAGGAGTCCCCTCAGTTTTGATCAGCTTCATCCTGCCGCGCAATCCCCTATAAGGAGTACACTTTTTCTACAAGTCCCCTATTCACAGTCCAAGAGTCCAGTTTACCCAGTCACGCCGTCCTGTGTGTTGTGCCCGAAAGAGAACAAACACATTTTCAGTTTTGCTTGCCTCGTGGCAGCGCATTCCTTTCTTCACTTCAGCCATGGCTGCCAATTCTGCTGTGCAGTTGCTGACAGTAATCTGTCTCGAGGTAACCAAGGAGGATAAGGAGACGTTCAAAATCAAATCAGGAAAGCGTCTTGTGGTTCTCTGAAGACGTTTCATCAGTGCGCGGGATGAAAGCAGAAATTGCAGAACGAGAAAAGTTCAGCACAGTTCAAATCTGACGAGTCAGGTACACTGACGCTCTCTTTCGTTCGACGCCACAAGGATCCCCTGTTTGGCTGGCCATTGCTGCCAGTAAGACGTTTGAACGGTTTCATCAGAGCGAGGGATGAAAGCAGAAAGCGGAGAAAGAGAAAAATTCAGCACAGTTGCAATCTGACGAGTCAGATACACTGACACTCTCTTTCGTTCGACGCCACAAGGATACCGTGTTTGACTGGACAAGAGCTGCCTGTACCACCGTGTCAAAAGGCTGTCCAACTACATGGCAGGACGATGACTGAGGTAAGGAAGCTTTTACTCGTTTCGATTGGTCTGCTGTTCTGTCGTTATGCTTGAATTTTTTTCCATTTTCAAGGAGCGTATCGTGTTTGTTTGATGTTGCTTGAATGAATGCACTAAAAGTAATCAACGACTTCGTAATAGTCCTCAAGGACTGCAAGGACTTTGCATCAATCGTATTATGATCGTCTAGCTATCATCAATTATTATTTTATTTCATGAGAAATGTATTTTTCTCCCTGTGATAATTATGTGAACTCCACGACACTCTTCCTGTAGTATGATGTCAAATACAATGGGATCCACAAACGCAGTGCCAGTGTACTAGTTGTAGTAGTAGGAGGATTGCTTGTATGCCAATGACAAGAAAAAGCTTCTCAAGCTAATACTCGTATTCCCTGAAGTGACCGTTTTGATGTCACGAACATGACATTGTCTCAGTGAAACTGTCTCGTGACAACAAATCATTGCATTTCCATCTTGGGGAAGACCGTGACTGACAGCAACGCTGTACAGATTGTTCAAATCATGTCATTTGAATTTAGTTGCAGTGAAGTGAAACACTGTGTACACTACATGTATGTTGGTGTGTCTGTGCGTTTTGAGTGTGCACAAATGAGCTTATTCCTCGTATTACTAATAGATTATTGTCCCCACCGTCACCTGTTCACAGGTCTTTGAGTGGGTTGATTTTCATTGAGCATCACATTCGTTGAGAACTTGGTAGTTGTGTGCTCCAATGCATCATTACGGTAATAAGCATATCCTTGTGCTATCTATTGGTTGCAGGTGTGCTGATCTTCAGAAGCTTGCGGAACTGAGTGCTGCTGAACATTTGCATGGCCATGAGCAATGGTGAAGCTTGCTATTGCACTCTCAGCATGTGCTAGTATTATGCTGACCACTGCACTATGTTACTCTCTTACACTACTACGTGTATGTAAACGTGCGTGTACCCGTCCCCGTATGCATTCGTTTCGTATAATTATTTGTTACCCATCTTGACTTTACATGTAAATGGGTGGACGTTTGCATGGCTGTTGGAGTTGCGTGTGTATTGTGTCTCTACTCTTTTCTTGGTGTTTTCTTGGCGTTGTATAAGTTTGTGTGTGTGTGTGTGTGCGCGCGCGCGCGCGCACAATAATTTGAAAACAAATAATTAATCCTGGGCTCTCCATTATTCTCTTTCGATTCTTGGTTTTTTCTAGGTATTTTCTTGGCGTTGTGTGGGTGTGTGCATGTATGTGTGCGTGCACAATAATTTGGCAACACTCCATGATTGAGATATTGTAATTTGCAGCGTCTGCGAAGAGACCACTTGATTTGAGGATGGTGTTTGTAGGGTTTTCCATGTAATGAAGTGGCTGCAGTGGCGCCTCAATACATATTTTTTATCTTGAGAAGTGAATGATGTATAGGATTAAAGGGAGAGGCCGTTTTCTGGTTAATATTCACTGCTTACAGCAGATCCTATGTCTATTTTCGAACTCGATAGGGGATGCGTAATTGGCTGGACTTTATACAGGGGGTGTTGTCCACATAAAGACTCTTTATAGTTGATTTCAAAGTTTGGACTCCGTACAGTTGATTTTGGACCAATGGACTCTATATAGGGGTGAAGCCAATTGGCTGGACTCTATACAGGGAGTGATGTCCATCGAAACTTTGAGCTCACAGTTGATTCCAAGTTTGGACTCTGTACAGTGGATTTTGGACCAATGGACTCTATATAGGGGTTGGACATCATATAGGGGCTGGACGCTCTACTGAGTCCAACATATATAGCAGGAACAATGGAAAAAAATTCTGAGTGTAGAAGGGAAACAAGTGGCTCAGATATCGAGGTAGCAGCAGGAGTGCTCTTACCGCAGCAGTCATCACATGGTGGCGGTGAAGTGACGGCAAGAGACTGTGGTGCTGTTGATTGACCTGCGCGTGTGTGCGCGTGGCATCAGATAACATCCGTTCCACATTGCAGCAGCATTAACACAGCATACACATGAGAAACAAGGTGCCGACCAACACATATTCAGACAGACAGGCAAAAAAATTAAGGTTCACGTGAGACTCGGCTAGAAGCCGAATTTTCCGCATCTGTAGGAACTCCATCACCCTCTAGAATCAAGGCGTAGATGCAGCTCCTAAAGCGATGGGAGATGAGTAGATCAGACCCACCACAAATTGGTCAAAGACCGTAATCCCATTCACTGCATCCACATGCAAGGTTGTCCTAAAATATCTAGCTTCTGGTAATCAGGGTACCTTATGTGGGAGCTTGCGCTTTCCTGCCAACATGAATTCTCTTTGGACTGACTCACGGCTGCCATCCGGAGTACACGAGAAGTCCCTCGAACCTCTTTTTCAGGACAATTACTGTTCCGTCTGAATGGCTGGCATTCTGGCATGGCCACACAACAAGTACTTGTATTGAGGGCTGCCAATTGTTGGCCGATTTTGACCCTCATTAGGCCACAGCAAGAACACATAAATTCACCGAAACACTGTGCATTGAGCGGGGAGTGGTGTTTTCTTGCAGGTTTGCCGAGTCGAAGGTTCGATGGACTTCTCGTGTGCTCTGGATGGCAGTCGTGAGTCAGTCAAGTGTCAATTCTAGTCGGCGGAATAGCGTGAGCTCCAGTGTCGGGGAGCAAACCCGTTCATAACATTAAATTTAACGGCAGGCAAACTTACCCTGCACCAGAACAGGCATCAGAAGAATGAAAGCACAGCATGTCCAGGTGATCATCGCTCTCAGTAGATGTACAGCCGCCGCCAGATTGATGCACACAGGCACTCTCTACCTTGCGTGCCTCGCCCGTCTCTGCAGCCACAAACCGAATCAACCCCCAGAAATACTTGTTGTTGAGTACTGGTATGGACACCGGGGATGAATTTATCCGGTATCGCATCGCAGTTTGCTATTCAAAATCGATCTACTGCTACTTAAATGACAGTGACACGCAGAAAACTGCCATACATACACATACAGGCTATCCATGCTTTTTGTAGCTTACGCCACAATTGAGATTTTGCACAGCAAAAACTGCTATGCGAAAACATGACAGTAAATACATCCCTGGACATTGTAATCCGGTCGAATGGCTGCGGCCGGCGCCCTTACAGCCTTAGCGCGTGCATGTACTGTATACATGTAGTACACGTGCACACTGCAAGACGGACCTGCAGTGCTCAGGCTGCTAGGCCAGCAACCCTTGCCTGCTTGACTTCTAAATGGATTTCGATGTCCACAACAGCAGTACACCGATACATCTAATGCATTGACACTAGTTCACAGTGGCCGTGGGAAACGCTGGCCTGTTGCAATTCTGAGCTTCATGGTATTTAGGCTTGTCATCACAACGGAACAAAAATCAGGTTTCCTGCAATTGTGAATTTGAGTTGTACTTTAGTACTTACACTGTAGGCAACTCTTCATGGGTTGAGCTCTTTTGCAGGACAGCGACAACTTTTCGTGCACAATCGATCAATCGCTAGGCAACCGAAACGGGGTGGAATCAACATACAATACACATAATTATCTTGGTCAACCAGACTAGCATTTGATTAGACCATGCGGCCAGTCTGCGAGCAGAGTCAGTGTAACCGCTTTCATACCTGCCAACCTTTGCAAACCTGAGATCGGGACAATGACGTACCTAGGTATGAAAATCTATACAAATGTAGCTGTGAGGCATGGGACAAATGCACTTTTGGGTGCCTATCACCACCCTCGATGGCGGGACGGTCCCGGCCCAATCGGGATGGTTATCAGGTATGCCCTTTGATCGATGCTACTGTTTCAACCCAGTCCGCTGCGCAGTAAGCACCCTCCTAAGATCCCACATCGCTTTGATCGATGCTACTGATTCAACCCAGTCCGCTGCGCAGTAAGCACCCCTCCTAAGATCCCACATCGCCCTGCATATGCATCGGTGCTGGATAAGCCTGCGAGCACAGCTGCTCCGATTTGGGGTGGGGAGATGGCAGAGGAGTCTTCAAGTCATCAGATCAATACAAGTCTGCAAGGCATTGAATTGGGCTGCAGTATAACCTTGTTCAGCCATGACAAATAAAGCTGCACCTACATCCGCTGAAAAGCTCAATGCCAAGTGAACATTGTCTAAGAGTATGCAACCCAACGAATTTGTTACCCCGGTCTTTTGCAGTCGTTTGGCTCTGGCGCCATAGAGCTTGGCCAGAAATCAAAATACAAAGAACTTGTACATCGCGGCTATGGTTGTCGAAGCAAAACAATAGATCATGTATTCATTCGTCCTGCAACTGATGGACTGACACCATGATCACGCACATAACCAGAGCAGAAACGCATCCCAAGTATTAGTTTATCGTACTTCAGTGGCAGAGTCCGTCGCAGCTGAAGAAAGGAGCTGCAATCTACACTCTTGGTTATGGTCTGTTGATAACAGCATACCTAGCCGCAGCACTAGGGGCATGGTGCTGTGCGCATCCTAATTGCACCACCGACCATGCTCATCATTTCTTGACCAATGCTGCTTGCATGATTTGTAGGCTGGCATAATAGTGTGTTCAGCATCTTTTGCAGGCATGCTTATTTTCATTATTTATACTGAAGTAATAAAGACCTGCATCTTACGTAGGGATTTCAGTTGCAAAACAAATATCCTAACCACAATGGGAATCAACCATATTGCGTGGCGGTTCCTTTCAATTCCTTATCTTTCCTTTACCTTTTCCATCTGGACTCCTCTTTGATTTTCTCTTCTCTTGTACAGTGCGTATCGGTTATAGTGTGGTCGTGTAAAAGAATATACTGCCTACAAGAAAGAACTCTCATATTTTCATAATCATGACGTGGCTTTCATGTGTTTTATTCTTACAAGCATTGTTATCGTGTAATAGAATATATCGGTCCTAAGAATGGACTTTGTGTAGCAAAACATGCCAGATTAGTACAAAGCTTATCGCCTGGGCTGTAGTAATAACATCTGCCCGATACAGTTCTGAACCGACTCGAAATGCATCACAATGCTGCAAGTGCATATACATGTATCTGTTGTGGTCATGTAACTCATGTTGCTCAGCCACATGGTGAACCTCTGGCCCAGTGTGGGACTACTTTGGAAGTATGAGCAACCGCATACACAGCAGCACTACGTTGCATGTATGATGATCGTCCTGGCTATGCGCACATGCATATGATACGTCACACTATAAAAATGTTATCGTATGTAAGAAATATCAGAAATAAGAATAGAAAGTCGTTTTTCAAACACCCACGCTCTAACCGATACCTACTGTACCTTCCTGCCATTATTCACGGATGCGGGCCGTTGAACAACTCATGAAGAGTACCAGACATGGCTTTTTTCTTTTTCTTTTTTCCATTCTCTTCACCGCACTGATCTTCGAATACACAAAGTCATAGTGTATGGCATTTTCATGTCAGGTTGTAATAGAGTAACACCTGGTGTAAGCGACCTCTGGCTTTAGCGACCACCTGCTCTTAACGGCCGTTTTTCCATGCACACAGAGAGTTCTACACAGACACTGTGGGACCTGGTTCTAAAGACCACCTGGCATTAAGGACCGCTTTTGCCTGCACCGCGGGGTGGTCGCTTCTAGACCAGGTTTTACTGTGGTCGGGTATTTCGCCACATTCTTGACTTTTTCCTGAGCAGGCCTCACTAGACATGGTGATGTCACTACAGCTATACAGCACGGTGGTTATAGGCGATTCAGACTACGGCCAAAACCACGTGTAAACTTGAATTTCCATGGTGTTGCAGTCGTATTTCAAAATTTTATGCACAATCGCTGATCAATTCCATCTGAGTCGTAGAAACGTGGTCACAGTTGGCCGTAGTCTGAATCGCCTATTAGTGAACATGCAGTTGGTTTTCCATTGCTACGTGACGACTGTAGTTTACCGTGAACCGCTGCAAGCCATCTGCCTCTGCCCCTTGGCCTTGAAAACACGCGCCTCTCGGAATGCGCTCACTGATCACAAGCAGCCTGAGTGTACGTTTGTTGCACAGGAACTCGCTCGCTGCATGCCGGCAGTACACGTAGACACCTAAGACTTTTTAGGCTAAGTAGATCCAATTCATAAAAATGTATCATTTCGCAATGGGCGATGACTGTTGTGGGGCATTATTGTCCGAATCCCAGGGCACCAAGCTTCGTTGCTAACCACGGTACTTGGCTTGGGAAATCATCGGACGACATTACCGGTATTGCAAAAATGAACGCCTAAATTAATCCATCGTGGATACCATGCGCGCCAGAATACAAGTCGCGACCTGAAAAGGATCATGGCACTTTCTCAGATAGTTCATTCAAACAACACTCATGCACCTCTCACCTTTGCTTCAGATTTCAGCGAGCGTCCTCCATAAATTCCTAACGCGCAACCAAGTGTAGCGCAGCCCAAGCCTTGAAACCGGCAATCGCCTTTCCAAACAAGAAGTAACACTGTTGTTCTTCTTCACAGACTGTCTCTCCGATCACTGCTGCCTTGTCTTTGAGTTGTATTTCTGTAGAGCTTCTCGTGAATTTGATGTCATCTCGCTACTAAACAGGGGGCGGCACGACAGGTATTTTCATGAACTCGTGTCCGGCAACTGCCAGTGACAAGCTGCAAGCCTGCATGCACGGTAGATCTATGTAAACATCTACCAGTTTGCTACATAGGTCTCCAACAAAATTCCATCCTGCAGGAGACGTGTGAATGCCGTTGTGTAGGGTGGTGCATGCTGTCAGCAGACCTGCCTGCTACAATCACTACACACCTCCCAAGTCCCACTTGCACTACCAGATGTAGTCCCAGACACAATCGCAGAGACAGCGAGAAGGCCGGTGTTGACCGCATCTAATACCATACTAGCCTACATGACAGTGTCGACAGTCTTCCTCCAAACTGAGCCGTGACCAAGTCTGGTTGCCACACCTAGACTTCACACGCCCGGTGGGAGAGGAGGCCGGCCTCGAGGGGGTACGAAATGCTTCGCTAGAACTACCAACACCTCGTCTCTGGTGTCATGACTTCCTACCACGGCTTGCGCCAGCCCTTAGATGATGCCGGCAGAAGAATTACCAGCCAGTAGCAGGATTTTGTACTTTTCTGGTATGTGGGTAACGCGACATGGGGCAAAATTCAAAGAATTTTAAAAGTGCCTGCCATAAGGTTTGTGTGGCTCTGCCAATTTCACTGCTTGTCGAGCAGAATCTGCCGATTTTTCAAGCATTACTGTATCAGCCACGGGCTACATGTAGCTGGAGAGGAGGTTGTGAAGGGTATTGTATAGAGCTTGGCTAGAAACACAAACACATCGTCCTTTTGGTGTTATACACCAACACATCGTCCTTTTCGTGTTATACACCAACACATCGTCCTTTTCGTGTTATGACTTCCTATCTTGGCAACAGCTTGCACTGACTATTGCGCACATGCTGGGAATTTATGCACCGAAACCACTTCACGAGTACATAGAAATTAATTATACGCTCGTATCTTGTGGTCTGCCGTAGATGAACATCAGCATGAGGTGCAGGTTGCGCCTATAGTTTCACATTCGGCCCATTCCGCCAACAGTATTCACCTGCTGCAGGACATGTGCAGTGCTGCTGCTCATAGTCATATCAATGAAATCCGATCGCATCATTCGAGTTCTGCGCCTCACACCATTTCTCAGTCCAGTGTTCGCGGGTCTGGACTGGGGTGTCGCAACTCCCCGCGCGTACTTGCGTGTCTTGATTGGATTGCATTGGGCAGTACTGGACATTTCCTCTCACTGCTACTCACTTCTGCAGTGGCAGGGTCGGAAGCCCACTTACACATCTCGCGAGATTAGTTGCCATTTCTCGCTTCCCTCGTTTGTTGCTCATCATGTTCTTGTTGGCATTCAATTTGTTTTGTCCATTTTCTTTAACTTGTTGTTGGGAACACCGCCCCATGCTGTGTGATCAGTCGTGTTGAATACTGCTACTCACTGGGTTATATCGGCGGTTCGTGCGTCTTCTTTCGTTTCTGTTGCTTGGCATGTTTTGTACAGTACTGTGCAACACACTGTTTGCACAATGTAATCTGACTGTTTTAGGGTCTGGCGGATTCTGCCGGCAGAAAAATTGGCAGAATTCGGTACTTTTTCTGGTAAGTTTCATGCATGTTTGGTATGTGGATAAAGAATGGAGCAGAATTCGAGGAATTGCCCGCCATAAGGTTTGTATGGTTCTGCCAATTTCACTGCTTTTCGAGCAGAATCTGCCACCTTTTCGAGCAGAATCCGCCGGTCCCTAGACTGTTTTAGCCCAGCTATGTTTTACGTTGCTCTTAAAACTCTTTTGCCGTTTTGGACATCTTATGACTGCATTATGTGGCACCGTGAGAGGATGTACACGTGCATGGCCTTGAAAGGATAGAACAGTATCGGTACCTGGTTTAGACAATGCTAGAGTGCCCATTCAACATTGTTTCTTGTTTCCATATTTCACTACAATGTAGTACAATGTAGTGAAATATGCTGGGCTTAGTTATGGCGATGCAGGCAGGCTTAGTGGGATGGTCGAAACCCACTCTCTTATTATTGACCGCCACAGAAACTTGTGATCTCTGAGCTGTCAAATATCAGCATAATATTATATCGACCACTTATAATTATATTGACCACTTATATACTGACCACTTATATATTGACCACTTATAATTGGTTGCTACAACTTCCCAACTCAGTGAAGACTTCTGCATCATTGAACGAATTTAAAGTGAATCTGAGGGCCTGCTGATGACTGAGTGCACCATAATAATAATAAAAACTAATCAATATAGCTTTTCGGCTGTTTCCTTTTCATGTATATAATCTTCTCCTTCTTTTACCATGGTTGGCTATCACCCACATCCTCCCGTTTTGGCTGCCATCGGAAGCCATAACCATCGGAAGCCATAAGATGTTGAATAAATAAATAAATAAATGAATATTGACCACTTCTATATTCGCCACTTAGCGCCTCAACGTACTGCTCTCCAGGCCAAACCATCACCAGGCCGCAACTTCTAAGTTGGTATTGTTGTCCCTCACGAGGACGTGCCACTAGTTGTTGGAGGTGACGGCGTTGTGAATAATAGCTACTGGCTCTCAACGTCTGTTTAGTACAACTCCATGAGCGACTCGACTATGAGTCACGCTGCTACCTGGGGCTAGGGTCCGGCGGATTCTGCCGGCAGAAAATTGGCAGAATTCGGTACTTTTTCTGGTTAGTTTCATGCATGTTTGGTATGTGGATAAAAAAATAGAGCAGAATTCGAGGAATTGCCCGCCATAAGGTTTGTATGGTTCTGCCAATTTCACTGCTTTTCGAGCAGAATCTGCCACCTTTTCTAGCAGAATTCGCCGGTCCCTACCTGGGGCGTTGTTTATGGCGCTGGAAACAAAGCGTCTCTGTAAGTTTGTATCTCTGGGGATGGTTTGGCCTGGAGAGCAGTACATACATGTCAGTGGTGATTTTCAAGCACTACCTTCCTCATCCTACCCGACTCAAGCTCAACTAGCTGATAAGGGGTGACCGGGGGAATTCCCGAAACACTGTGTGCAAGCAAAGGAGCGGTAGGGGTAGCAGTAGGTGCCAGCAAAATAGACCGGACCCTCGCCTTGGCCATACGCTCCAGACGACCTAGTCAAGTGCATGCTAAGAAAGAGCTGGATGCTAGCATAGCAGAGTGTAGTCTGGATCATGCCAATGTACCAAGTGCGGCGGGTGTTCACTGTCAAGCCATGTCCATGCCGCCATAGCGTACCAATTGCTTGTTGGGCTTTCTGAGCGAGGTGATCGACATGTAAATCCCAAGACATGTTGTCATCGACGTGAACTCCAAGGTAGTACTTCACACAATGTACAACTTGTAGAACGCCCTGATCACACTGTACTGGATGGTGGACGTCTTGCAGACCACGGGGTTTTATGAACATAACTTGTGTCCTTCTTGGTGTTTAAAAGTAGACCTAGATCAGCCAACCAGGCAGAAACACTAGTGAGTCCATCAGTCAGAGATGAGCATACGACTTGTGCGTCACGACTCGAGGCCTCCAGGACAATGTCATAAGCGAACTCTTGGTGAACTATGGTACTAGGAAGGATTTCGTTGAGTTGACGAGTGTACAATATAAAGAGAAGTGGACCAAGCACACTACCCTGGGGAACACCTCGGGGACAAGGTACTGGTTTGGATGATGTGCCTACGATACGAACTTGCTGGTAACGACCAGATAGGTAGCTCATGAGCCATTCCAAGGCTTTACCAGATAGGCCAACAGAATACAGCTGGGACAATAGCTGATCATGGCTTACGCGGTCAAATGCCTTTGACATATCCACGAGGGCTATGCCATTTACTTTGTGATCAGATCGGTTCGTGAGTCTGCGACTAGTAGCGAGAGTGAGAGCATTTCCGTTGAATGATGTTTTCGATATGCAAAATATGTACTAGGATAGCTTGGCAGGTGTCAAGGTAAACCGTAAGTTGCTGTTTGATGATTTTCTCCAGCAATCGTGAAACTATGGGCAAGAGGGACACTGGTCTATAATTACCACAGACAGTTGGATCGCCTTCTTTAAAGAGGGGACTGACGTGAGAAAGCTTGAACAATGATGGAATACACCCAGTGGCTAGTGATCAGTTGAAGATCAAAGTCAATGTAGGCGCCAGTTCGTGTGCACAATCACGGAGCACAGTCATTGAATGCCTGGGATTGAATCACTACCTGCCGCTTTATGGGGGTTCACACTTTCTAGGACCTTGCAGACATCACTAATAGGAACGGACTGGAAACGCATGAAGGTGTCCGGCGTATGAGAGCCCTCGGTGTGTGATGGCCTCCTTACATCATGAATAATGTCCCCAAAGTATTCACTTACTTCCTCAACTGACACCTTAGGTTTCTGTCCAGGTGCCTGCCTGCCAATGACGGTGTTCATGACTTGGCACAGCTTGCGCTGAACTGAAGTAGCACATTTCCGGACAAATAATTCATTTTGAGGTTTCTGTCGAGTGTGTGGGTTAACGTACAAAGAAGATGAGGATGGATGTTGTTCTTGCCCGCAGTCTCCTGAACTCAACCCGTTCTCCGCGTTTGCCTAAACCTAGAAGAGAGCGTTTGAGAGGAGAGTGTGGTGGATCTTCATCTTCCACCCTTCCCTTCCCCATCGCGTCCCAATTTCTCGGCAACGAGGCTGTAATTCTCAGACGCTTTCAGAGTGGATCCGCTGGCTCGAACCCACACCTGCTCATAAAATTTAATCAAGATCATCTCCATTTCTGCAGAAAACAACGTCAGGGGCATTGTGACTAAACAGACTAAAATTATTGGTGAAAGAAAGCCGAATGAGTTTGGTTGGTTGTGTTTTTTTGAATTCGCAAACCGAACGGACGTGTCCAATTAAAAGGAAGCGAATGAGCTCCAAGTAACCCAGGCATGGAAAAACTTGGAAAGTTTCAATAACAAACACACCACTTTAGTCTTCAGCAACACTCGAAAGTGTCCTCAATCACGCACCGGTGCACCAGTAACAACGACTACCGATAAAAAGTGACGGAATGGGAAAGTTGC